ATAGGAAATGTTCTCAGTCAAATAAATTTCTAACTAATAGACATAATTCGAGAACCCACCTAAGAGAACGACAGCCAGCTGGAGTTACACGAATTTTAGCGGTATGTATAGGAAATGTTCTCAGAGCCAAATAAATTTCTAACTAATGGATATAATTCGAGAACCCACCTAAGAGAACGACAGCCAGCTGGAAGGAAATGTTCTCAGAGCCAAATAAATTTCTAACTAATAGACATAATTCGAGAACCCACCTAAGAGAACGACAACCAGCTGGAGTTACACGAATTTTAGCGGTATGTATAGGATATGTTCTCGGAGCCAAATATTTCTAACTAATAGATATAATTCGAGAACCCACCTAAGAGAACGACAATCTTGAAGATAATTTTATTATACGACATTAATAAATCTTTTTACCTTTTTTTCTGAAAATGAAAGATTTATCTATAAATAAATTAAGGTTATAACTTGATCAAAAAAAAAAATCTGTGATCTTCAAATATTTTGTTCAAAAAACTTTATTTGTCATAATTTATTTTTTTTAAAAAAAATAAATGTTTTATTTAAAAATGGCTAACACAATATTATGGCCCAAATAAAAATGTTGGGCAAGGCCTTGATATTTTGCTCATAGATAGTAGAAATCAGAGGGCCGGGCTTAGGGCCGGTCCTGCAGGTTTCTGTTAGAAATAATTGGACATCTTTTAACGCAAATTTCAAGACAGGCGTGATATTATTTTGGCTAAAATTAATTAAAAATCGGCCAAAAATGGATCCGTTTATAATCAACACCAAAGCAAACGCGACAAAAAAAAATTGACAATTATAAAAAGGTGTGTCTAATGACGTTTTTTCTTCTTATATTTAATACGAAAATAAAAAATAATTTTTTTTTTCTTCTATTTACTATTTTTTTTTCTTCTATTTATTTTTATTTCATTTTAATCTAAAGATAAAATAAGGTTTTTAACCTCTAAAAGAAAAAAAAACATTTATTTTTTTATAACATTCCATTGATTTAAAAACAAAAAAAAAAGAATGCAAATTTTTTGGAAAGTAAAAAAAATAAATATTTGAATTAGTGAAAGCGAAGACTCTCAAAAATGGTTACTCGGTTATAACTTTTGTCATCATTACGGAGCGATATCATTTTTTTTAAATGGCAGTTTCTGTATGACCTGGACCAGGGTAACGTGGTTCTCGGTATTTACCAACCGTTTATAATTTTGTCTAAACGACTCGATTTGGGCCGATTTTTAAAAACGCTGAAGATTTTAGCTCATAGGATGGCACAAAGGTTAGGGCATCTATTAGCGAAATCTCGAGGTTTAAGCTTTTTTTCTAAGCTAAAATATTGAGTTTTCCGTTTTTATAAATCGGTTTAAATCGAGCCGTTTGATCAACGCTATCCGTTTGACCGCTAAAAAAGTTTCCTATTCCCATGATCAAGTAGAAAATCAGCTTATCATTGAGAAGCTAATCAATTTATTTCTGCTCACTTCCTTGAGTGACGCGAAAATTTTCGGGTTAAAAAAAACTAAATTTTAGTTTTAGCCGTATTTTTCTTCTTTCTATAAGTATGAAAATCCACTAAAATTGGGGGATAAAAAAAAAATAAATAGGCCTATTTACCCTTCTAACTGGATAGCGTTTATTAAATGGATCAATTTGTACTCAATATCTTTGTTAGAAATATATTGCCTAAGCCTCAAGAGATCTCTAATAGATGTCCTAACCTTAGTACCATACCAGCAGCGAGCAAAATCTTCAGGTCTGTATAATAATATTTTGGATAATCTCAAATCGTGCCATTTAACAACACTACAACGGTATTAACTTTATTAAACATAGAAATTTCTAAATTTTATGATTTTGTTTAATTTAAAAAAATTATTAAAATTAAATTAAGATAAATACGAAAAAAAAATATATAACAATAAAGGAAGGAGTAAGATTACATTACCGGTTAAAACACACAAAATAAAGATAACTTATTTTTAAAATTTCATCATCTTCCTATAAATCACGCACGTAGCATATTAAAAAGTCAGACATCGTAAGATATTATAATAATCTCTTTTATATATAAAAAAATAAAAATAAATAATTTAACCACAAATTTTAATAAATTTAAAATAATTATAACCTTGTTTTTGAATATTTAAATCTCTCTTCTTCGTAAAATTTAATTTTCGCTTTTCCTAAAATCTACTTTAAGTCTGCCAATGTGTGGTATTAAATGGTAACTATTCATCAAAATTCTTCCTCATCTAAGACTGTGTGTCATCTTTCAGGTTAAATATTAATGATACATTTTTTATATTTGATATTTTGTTTAAAAAATAATAATAACTAATGTCAAAGTTATGAATGAGTAATTAAGATAGGAATCCAATTTAATAGCTTAGAAATCAAAGCATACACATATATTTTGATTGAAAAAAAAATATTAAAATAAAAATTATGTTTCAAAAAAATTAATTACCATAATAAATTAAACCTTTGAAATTATCTATTTATTTTTATTTTATTTATTACAAAAAAAGAAATTTTATAAATTTTTCAAATTATTAAATATATTAGTCATAAAAAAAATAAAGAAACAATTTAATTTTATTCTATATACTTTGTCTATAAGTTATTTTTTATTGAATCATTGACAAAAAAGTGTCCTGAACAAAAAAGATCCGGACATGAGTAATCAACCCTAGGATTTGGAAAAATTTTAAATACTATTCTATTCATAATTTAAAATATTTTACTCTCCTTTTATAAAACATTTAAAAAAAATAATTTTCAGAAATTGGGGTATTTTTGCCCATTGTCTTTTTTTTTGTCCGGGGTAACTTTTGTCCATTGTCTTTTTTTTTGTCCAGGACATTTTTTCAAGAAGAGGTATTTTTTTTATCTATTGAGTACCCAATCCCACTTTCTCCATAACTATTAGATTTGAACGGGTAGATGTCAAACCCTAAAAGCCCGGGACTTCCAACCGTGGCGGGTTATTTGTGAAAACCAGTGCCCAAAAACCCCTCTCTCTTTTTTTAGAAAAAAAGAAGGATCTTCAGGGGCGATTCGAACCGGGCTTAAAAAAATAGGCTATGTCACAAGATTTTATGCCAAAATATAATTACCCCAAGCCTCTAAATTTTGACAATAAGTTGTCGAGCCTTTCTGGCAAACAGTGGGCCCAAAGCCCTGGAGCTAGAACAATTCAACTTTGAACTAAGGTCATGAGTTACCCCTCTTTTTTTTTTAATAATCGACAAAACCGAGCCTATTTAATAAACCCTCTCTCTGCACCGTCTCTCAATTCTATTAGGATGGGATGAGATTATTCTCTGGGGGAGAGTGGGCGGGTCAGCTAGACAAAACAATAAGCAAAAAAAAAATATAATAAATACAATATAGACATTTTTTTAAAAAATAACGTGGCTAAATTTTTGCTATATAAAATAAAAGATAATAATTTATTTAAGTATATTTTTTTTTTTAAATTAAGTTAATTGGAAATCCATCTACGTCAAAAGTTATGGTGTGATCTCTTCGAGAATGATGATGATGATCACAATTGATCTAATTGGTTCATCCAAAATGACACACCTCTTTCTTTAATTTTTTTTTAAAAATTATATTTTTTTTTGGCAATCGAGAAGGGGAAAAAAACAGAGATTTTAACAGGAGTCCAAATGATGTATTTTATTTTAATTTTTTTTAAAAAAATTAAATTTAATTTTGTATTATATTCGGCTAAATTCATTTATTTCGAATAAAACGATGTGACAAATGACGACCCTGTGTCAATGTCCTTAAGTAGACTTTTAGAGGGAGAAGAAAGGGTCTAATTCATCCCATTTTTGTAGTAAAGTGGGACCTTTACCATTTCACTTCAAAAACTAATATTGAATCAATTTATGGCCAAAGACCTTTACTTAATTCTCCTTTTGGTATCTTGTTCTTTAAAAATAAACTTTGAGGAATGCGAAAATAGCTATTTTCACACCCTTATATCAAAATAAATTTTATTCGCGTAATCTTATGTTGCTAAATTACAAACTAAAAAAAATACAGATCAGACATAAAAAACAGAAAAATAATAATACGATATTCGAAATCGATATTAAATAAATTGAAGGAGAAACATATAAAATTTATTGAGAACTTCCGCCACACCCTTTAACCAAAATTATACATTTGAGCTAATAAATAATAATAATACTTTGTATTTTAGATAATTTGAAAATGATTTATTTTATATATAGTATAAAAGTTATTTTTGTCTACCATTTGGAATTTTATTTTAATTATTTATATTTAAAATGAGTTCAATAAATATGATGACATAATCAGGATCTTGTGATTAACACTAATGGTGTGACATAGTTAAATATATATTATATTATACATTACAACAAAAAATAATTTGGATGATATATTATTGTCCAAAAAAAAATAAAATAAAATGAATTATAATTAAAAAAAAGAAGTAATTTTAAATAAAATAAAGGGGAAAAAAATATAAAAATTATTTTATTAAAATGGAAAAGAAATTAATAAAAAGAAAAACGTGTTTTATATTAATAATAATAAATATATTTAAAATAAAATAAAAAATATATATTTAAGGTGAGTTTACATACATCATTGAAAAGATACCAAACCAACATTTTTTTAAATTTTGGATATAATATTGTGAAATTAATATCGGAAATAGCTTTATACTTAATAATTACTTTTATTATCCCAAAAAATAACTTAATATTAATCATCATAAGTACAAATATATAATAATTAATTTTTCAAATTTTTTTTTTATAAAAATAAAAGAATTTTTAAATAATCTATCTTTTATAAATTTAAATATATTATTATATAACAGTTCCTCATTTCATCACCACCTTCATAATATATATATATAAAAATACTTTTTAAAATTAAATATTAAATTTTTATTTTCACTTTAAAAAAAATTAAAATTTGTTTTTGTAGTTTAATTTGTATAAAACGACAAATTTTAAATTTGATTCTTAATTTTCCATTGGTCAAATCATCATCATCATTACTTTACTTTTAAAAACAAAACAAAAAAATTACAATATAATGCTGTTAAATCTTATAGGAACAAGGACAAGACATAAGTTATCCGGTATAAACCATTGTATTATTTTTTTTTTCTTATTTAAAATTAAACAAAATTTAAATTAAAAAAAAATTAAATAATATATATTTTATTTATTTTTTTGATATAAGATATGATTTAAATAAAAGTATATTATTTATCTCTAAATTTTAAAGAAGGAAAGAAAAAAATTTTTTTTTTTTACCTGGTTGTTTTCAAACAAATTAAAAATTTAAACCGGGGAAAAATAACAAAAATTTAAAAAAAAAAAATTAAAATATTCTATTAAATTGGTTTTCTTTTTTGTTAATTGACAAATTACATTTTTTGGAATTAATTTTCCTACGGTATATTTTGTATATTGTTATTAATGTATTAAAAAAAATATATAACTGAACTTGAAAGAAAATGAAGATATTTTGAAGCCGTTTTATAAGTAAATCTAGTTCCAGAAAAATTACAATTCTCGAATTTTTCAAAATTTATGAGTAGGAAGTGGGGAATAAACTTATTTATTACCAAATATATATATAAATTAATTTTTGCCAAAGTTATAGTGAAAAAAAAATACTAGGCGGGGTCGGGTCAGGTCGGGCCTTTGAAATTTTTTTTTAAAATATATCTTAAATTTATCAATTTTATGTTGAATATTTTATGTAAAATAAGAATATTTGTTATTTATAGAAACTCTTATAACATATATCTTTTATTTTGGGTAATTATAATTTTTTTTAAAAAATTTCGGGCCGGGTTGGGTTTAAAAAATTAGACCCGATGCAGATCACTGGTTAATAACCGTTTTTTAAGCATCATTTATGAAATATTTTTTTTTGTATTTTTTTATTAATTCGTTCCAATTTCAAATGTTAAAAAAAAATATAAAAATAAATAGCTTACAAATTTATTATATTGTTAGGGGGGGGGGGTTAAGATGCTTAATTCCTTATTTTCTTAGACCTTTTCGGGTAGCGTTTGTTAAACGGCTCGAATTGGCACATTTTAAAATTCAGATTTATATTCAAAATAGTATATGGCCCAAGTCTCGAGATTTCGTTAATTAGATAATCCAGAAATTTTTGCCATATATGAAGCCAAATCTCCAGGATTACAATATTATTTTGGCTAACATATTTGGGTTGGCCGTTTTAAAAAAATATAGAACCTCTTAACAAGCATTCCAACTGACCTAATGGGCGCGAGAATGATTTTAAATCTTAAATTTTTTCTCTGTTTAAAAAAAAAATTAAACACGGAAACGCTCGAACAGTCCAAACGTTCCGATTGGTTTTGTTAAGCGTATCGGCTAATTTCTATATTTTATCCAGAAAAAATACATTACGAGAGCTTAAAAAAATTTGCTTCATACCTGGCCAAATTTCTCAGGCTTAATCAATATTTTTCCGGCTAAAATATTGAGTTAGGCGTTTTTAAAAATCGTTCCGAGCCGTTTAACAACACTAGTTCCAATTGGGCCGCTAGCGTTATTCATGTTTTTTTTTAAATTTTTTTGTATTTTTTTAAAAAAAGAGTTTCTAAAATATTTTTTATTAAGTTAAACTGTGATTCAATTAAATATATATATGTCGTATTGGGATATGAAATCCGCTCCGCTCCCCTCCCTTACTCTTCTGCCTTTGTTTCTTCCGAAAAATAAATGTCAGTATGTATAGAGTATATACCTTTATCTACCTTTATGTTAGAATTTTTGATTGTGACCCAACTCAAGGAAATTGGTGTTAAACAGCTGATTCATCATTAGTAGTGTTGTTAAACTCCTTTTTTTGAGCCGCTAATGACGGCAACTCTAAATTTAATCCAGAAAAAAAACTGCATAAGCATCCAGATTTCGCTGATAGATATCTAGACTTTTGTACCATCTATGAGCAAGATCTTCAGGCTTGCGTCATAATTTTCTAAATAAAATACTGAGTTAGCCGTTTTTAAAAATTGGCGCCGTTTAACAACACTCATCATTAGTAAAACAAAAACAAAAATTGTAAAAAAATTTTTTTTTAATTTTTCTATTTTGAGGTGATAAAATTTAAAATTGTCGCTCGGTAAACAACAAATTATCATGAACCTTTATATCTTTGCAAAACCTTTTTAGAACTATTTGAAGCGATACATTTTATAGCGGGGTTCAAAATTTCAAATCTCAAGGTAAATTCGGTTCAAAATTTTTTTGATAAGGAAAAATTCGTGCTCTTAGATAAAGCTATCCCCTGTTATCTCCCGTAGTCTATGCATCTTTGATAGTATATTTTAATATCAGATGTGTTAAATCACGTGATTTGGAAACATCTTGAGTGTATTTTGGATTAGTGACTTATATTTCCTATATTAATGGCAATATTATTTTTTTGAAATCATTTTTCTGAGCGCGATTTTTTTTAAATTCAAAAATCTGATTCCAACTGGCAAATATATTTCCAACATGTTCTGAATACCTACCCTATAAATTTCGGACAATTTTCCCGCCAACTTTTGAACTTAATATAATTTATATTTAGTTTTTTCATAGTTTTTTTTAAAAGAAAAAAAATATATATTATAAATGACTCAAATGTCAACGACAACATTGTATGCGCGATTCAGAAGATAGGTATTCTAATAGTGCGTACAAATTGAACGTTTCAAAGCAGCGTTTTAAAACGCATATCAATAATTTAAAATATAAAACGCAAACGTACTCAATTTAAACCAATGCACTTAAAATGCGTTTTTGCGTTTTGTAACGCAGCGTTGAAACGTTCAATTTGTGCGCACTCTAAGCATGATGAAATCCATTTCCGGTAAAATCGGATCTTTAAATTTAAGAAAAAAAACACCCTTCAAAAAATAAATTTTTGAACTTTTTAAACGCATCGTTTCTAAACGCAAATAATAGCATTTTATAAATGCACCACTATCTTTTAAATTGGACAGCATTTATTATTTTTTTGTTTTAGACGTTTCAATAAAAATAATAAAATTTAACGGTTCAATGTAGACATTAATTTAGGTTTACGTTTTTTTTTTTTAAATTTAGATTTTGAAACGCTGCATTTTAAACGTTCAATTTATGCGGACACTGTAACACATTCCCGCTAACATATAATACAAGATACCGCATAACTCGAACCAGGTTAACCAAGACCGATCCAAACCGAGTTAACCGAGACCAATTTTAGGACAACTCATTAAACGCGGGGTAAAATGGACCTGGGGCAGGTTCCGACCCCTCTTAGGAAAATCGGCTTCGATTAAGTTTCTGTTTACAAAATTCCCATTAAATGCATTTTAAAATTCTTTTTGAACCCAGATTCGGGTTCATATCCCTGATTTATATCACCATTTCTATATATTATATAATATAGATAATTATTTTTACACCAACACCTCTAGTTATTATTATTTTTATCCTCTGGCTAAAGAATATTCTATAAATTATGTTTAAATTAATATATATATCATTAACAAAAAAAAACACTAAATGATGAATATTTTTTCCTTTTCCCCAAATGGATGTCGAGATAACATAAAAAATCAAAAAAAAAATTAAATAAACCCAAATCAAAAATAAGGAGCCATATAAATACTTTTTCCCCTACCAAAAAAAAAGAAAGAAGTAAAACATTTAGGCCCGCGAAACAAAAACAAATTTTCTATCATTTTTACAAAAATCTAATTTACTCTTTAGGGCTTCTTTATATTTTATTTTTTTTTCTCTCTCGAAATGATATAGTTATAAACTATAGGAAAAAGAACTATTGATATTATATACATATACATCGAGTGATTATGAGACAAATCGAAAAAAAATTCTGATTGATTATTAAGCTTATTCATCTTTTCCATTTCATTTAATTTATCAATTATTACAGTTTATAACGCAAACTGTAATACACATCATTGGAATGTATTCAGGATTTGTTTTGTTTGAGATAGGTTCAAAAAAATAATAATTAGCTAAAAATTTCAGGGGGAGGTTCAATTCCAACCTGCCTCCAAAACGGGTCCCTTATAGTGTTTGTTGAATCACCTAATTTTGACCATCTATATTGTGTCAGTCAAGCCTTTTAGATTAAAAAAAAAATTGAATTAAGCTTCTAAGTTGAGTCTCAAACGTGAAGATTGCTTAGAATATTTCTGGATAAAAAAATATGGCTCAACTGTTTTATAGTTGACTAAAGATAGGTAGTTTAATAACACTAGTCCCTTATATAAGTCAAAAGTCAGGAGTTTATGTGTAAACATAACATAACATAACATTTTATTTTTTTATATTATATATATATATATTCTCATTTTTTAAATTTATAATATTTTAAATTTTTATAAATTAAAATTCACATAACTTTTAATTTAATATTTTAAAAAGAAAAACATTTGTCAAAAATGAATTACAATAATTTTTTTTTTCTCTTAAAAATGAATCGGCGGAAAATTCTTTTTATTTTTTTAATTTTTTGGAGACATTTAAAAATTTTAATAAATATTAAATAATAAGGGAAACAAATGGAAGAAAAATATTAAATAAAAAGAAAAAGGAAAAAAAAAGGAATAAGGAAGTTTAATGAATGAAGAGAAGAAAGTTAATAAAAAAAAATTTACAATAAAATTTTTTTAAAAATAGTTAGCATATTCAAATAATTATTTTAAAAAAGTATAGTTTAGAGGATATACATTTTTAAAAATAAATTAATATATCACAATTTAATGACAATTCCATGAAAAAATAATGATTTAAAAATAAAATTTATTTTAAAATTTTTTCCGAAAATGAAACAACTAGTCAAAAAAAAATTTTTTTTAATTCATTTTTAAATATTTTTATCCAAATATATTTCGGGGACTCAGACTTAGGTGACAATTCAATAAATTTTTTTTTATAAACAATTTCCATGAATTTTTTAATTTAAATTATTTTTATAAATATTTGAGTAAAAGCTTCTTTTTTTTTATATTAAAAAAAATTTTTTTAAAAATAAAAAAAATATGATTTTTATAGGTAGCGGAGTGGACACCAAGAACCATAATTTCTGTTGGATCCTGAATTATTATCTGTTAGCCGGAAACATTTTGGCCATATACACCTCGGCCCTGAGTATACAACTAGATCCCAAGGATAAAAATGACAAAGATAACGATAAATATGACGAATACGCGGGAAAATCGGGGGAAAGTATCGATAAAACCATTTTAAACATGGATCGCCCCCAAAATCTAAAGATTATGGGCGATACCGTGCGATATAACTTTCTTGAAGGTGAGCTACCCTACAAAAATAATCCCACTTTATACCCTGGCCAGTCGGATCGATTTGCCAAAGTTAATGGGCACTACGATAACAAATTGACCGAAGAAGTTCCCGCCGTTATTAGAAAGAAGAGACGATCGGGCCCTAAAAAAATAGATCCACTCGATGCGCTACCCTCCAGCGCCGACGACACCTTGTGCGGTCTCAATAACATGGTATTTCAGTTGAAAAGTGATGACAAGTTTGTGGCGACTGCGGAAGATAAGAACGAAGGAACGGATAGATTATCAAAAATGATACACAAGTTGGACACCCTATCCAAAATTAGGGACCGATTATTGGTTTCAAAGGAAAAATCGAAGGCGCTCCTACAAAAAATGGTTTATATTTTTTTTTTGGGAGGAAAATATTTTTGTTGCGTCAGTTGTAAAAATTACTTCATTTTTTAAAAGGAAAGAAAGAAAGAAAGAAAGAAAGAAAGAAAGAAAGAAAGAAAGAAAGAAAGAAAGAAAGAAAGAAAGAAAGAACAATATTATATTATATTATTATTTATATTTAATTATAGGTGGAAACGGAAAATATCTATTTGTCAGTTTGGAAATTGATTCTGCAATCGCCGATAAATAACGACGAAGCGAGAAAAATATGCGATTCGGAGAAACTGGCCGCATCGAAAAACCTTAAAGTAAAAGATGATAAAAACCCTCGTATTTTGATTTATTTAATGTTTATGGAATACGTAAACAATTTGAAAACCCTGATTTGACCGGAAATTTTGGATCTAAATTCCTAGACTATTTTTTTTTGCTCTGGCTCTAAATTCCAGACACCGTCAAATCAAAAATTTATGTTAAGTATTAGAAGATATAAGATAAATCCACATGCTTCTCAAAAGGCAAGATGTGCACACGTTGGAAATAGTGTTATTACTCATGCACAAAGGTTTGGGTCATCTAAAAATATTGAGTTAACCGTTTTCAAATCGAACCGTTTAACAACACCAGTTGGAATACATTTTAGGTCAAATTAGACTTTTTCAAATTTATAAAAAAAAAATTCGCCTAACACTAAATGATTATTCAAAATTGTAAGACATATCGAATCAACTAACGCAATTTATATACATTCCTTCCAAACACGGCATATTAAAGTTTTACCATATATATTTTATATGTCGTATTGTTCGGAATCTCTCAATTTTAAATCATTTGGGCGATTTTTAGATTTTTTAGAAATCTGATATTTACAGGAATCGTATTTCAGCATGTATAGAATAGAGTCACCCAAACAGTAAAATTTTAAACAATTTTGCCATGAACTTTAGAACTACTCCTAATTTATATTAATTTTTTATATGCATTTTTCTTATAAATTAAAAAAAAAAAATACTAAAATATTTATGGCTGAAATTGGCTATAATTTAAATACTCAACACATGATAGATTCCGGTTAAATCGCATTTCCTAGGTAAAGGATTTAAAATAGAGAGATTCCGAATCCTCACAGATTCCATATCCCAATATACGACTTATATATATACAATTTACTTTATTATTTTATCCGTAATTTACTACAAAAAAATAAAAACAAACAAGGCCAAGCAAGATTATTTATTGTCGAAAATCAAATTCTTAAATTCGGTGCAAAAAATTTTCGGGGAGATAAAAAAGGATTCAATGCTTCACCATGACATATTATACATTGATCAAATGCAGGATATAAACATTCAAAATACGCTCATCCTATGCAATTTCAAAATATTTCTCAAAATTTTTCGCATATACAATGAGAAAAATTCGCCCACGATAGCGGGCGATGTTTTCGATGATTCGAATCGTCCAAATAATAATCATAATCATGATATTCGAGGGGGTCCGAATTTGATTCACGATATCCTTTTTTTGTTATACAACTGTGATACGTCTAAATACAATTTAAATATCAATACAAAAAGAGCCACCACCAATCTAAACAAGAATAATGATAGAAATGATCTAATCAACACTAGCATATCGAACTTGATGGTGTTCCCTTTAAAGGAGAGAAGTCAAAGAATGATAAGAGACGTTTTGATAATCGATGCCTACGTTAATAGTTTAGAACATTTATCGGATGTGGTAAATGGCATGATCGAAACTCAATTTTTATTGACGAATTACGTCAAACGTCAATAAAAAAGCGATTTTAAATCGTAAGTCACATGTCGATCATTATTATTTTATATATTAAAATGACAAAAATATGCATCTTCGCCAGCATTCTTTTGTATGTTATTTTCGTGCAATCTCAAATTAAATTACTTATAAATTCATCGGTTTTAAAAACCTAAAATAATTATTTAATAGTCAATTTTTTGTTGTTAAAAAGTTATATTAATGATAATATAAATTATAATGTTTTAATATAATTTAAATAAACATGAATTGAAATTCACTTATTCCCGAGATAAAAAATGTTATATATTTTTTTTTGTCAAACATACTCAAGTTTATTTAAATAACTCTAAATTATTTAAAGTTATTTTGTTATATTTATCGTTTAATATAATTATCTTAATTTTATATTTTTATTTATACCACGACCAATTTAAGGTGCATTTAAAAAAAAATTTTACCAAATATTTTGATCCTAATTTTTTTTCTTATATATATTTTATATAAATCGCAATTTTATAAAGTTTTTAAATGCAATATTATTGTTTACATACATATATATATATTAATATTATTATTATTATTATTGAATTTATTGCTCAATTTATAGAATAAAATATTATTATAAATTAGAATTAGCATAAGTTGATACAAGTATTATGCAACGTTGACCTTAATATATTAAATAATTTTTATAAATTTTTTTATGCTGTATAATAAGAAGGCAGAAATGAAGAGCAAGGTTAAATTAGGAAGTAATATACAACCCAGCAAGCTCTTATCTACCGGGAATATTTAATCGATATCATTTTCGGCCTGACTTCATAGGATACAATAGTGTTATTAAGAAGATCGGAAAGTGGGAGGGGTGAAATAATAATCGGCATATTGAACCAAATGTACATTAATATAATTGAATCATTTAATATTTTATTCATCAGGGGAATCCCAGCTAGAGCTCTGCAACTATAATATGGTCTGAAATATTTTGTGGGCGAAATGAACAGAATTAAGCATGCACTTAAATATTATTACCCCCCCCCCCCTCCATGATATTGAATATTTAATCAGTTTGTAAATATTATATTGAGATAAGAGAAATAAAAAGTCAAAAGCCAACAAAATCAAATAATATTAAAAATATTGGGCAGGTGGGCGAGCTTAACAAAATTTATATATAAATTATGGAGCGAGCGGGTAAATTTTTTTTGAAAAACCGTCGAACGTGGATCCGTTCAGAAATTAATAAACCCCCTCATTGCAGACTTCTGGCCAACGCGGAAATGACGTAGGGAGTCTAGAGTTACATCTTTGGAATAAAAGACTCCAATCTTTTTAAAAATGTAATGACAAAATTAGTTAGTCACTTTCTAAGTCATTTTTAATATGTATGTAGATACCAGTATCTTTGTGTATATATATTTTTAATCTCTACCATCATAATATTTAAATTACTATAAAACTAAAAATACAATTTCATAATTGCGTTCCCAATAAGGAACCATTATTATATCTAGAAAATTTTATTTGAATTTTTTGAGGTGTATATAAAAATTCTTCGGCTTCGGTTGTAAAATGCCATTTTGGTCCAAGATATTTCAAAAACATATAGGTTAATGGAAAAAATGGCCGTTTGTGGAAGTCACTATTGGTGTATTGTTTCTTAAATTACTTTATATTAAATATAATTACATCAAGCACTCATAAAGTGTTTTTTTTAGTCTAAGGAAGCTTACCAATAGATAAAATTAATATCCTTTTTGGACACCTATAGTGAAAATCGTTTATTTTTAAAATCAAATAAAAATTTATATAGCTAAATTTTTGATAAAAAAAGTATTTATTATATGTTATATTTTTATACAGTATATAAATAAATATTCTTTGGGTTATATTTTTTAGGGGTAATTATCTATTTATCTTAATTGTATATTAATTTAAATTAATTTGATTAAAATATTAGCAAAATAAATAAGTTTCCTGATAACTCAATGACGTTATTATTTTATTCACATATGTAATAATATTTTTTATAAAAATAGTATATAACATTTTATAGATATCACATAAATTTGTAGTTCCTAAATATTTATATTAAAAATAAAGAGTTGTATAAATAATTTATAAGGTAAGGTAACTCTTGCAATATAACTAGCTACTTTTGAATTAGAATAACTAGTAACATTTTTAAAAGTGTAACTTCTAATCTTAACTAGTAACTATAAAAATACTTACTTTTAATAACATTAATTTTAACTAAGAATATATTTAACTCTCACGTACTACTAAAATATCTGCTAAATGATGCAATTTCAATTGTAAAATAATCTATATAAAATTGAGCACAAATATTTATTTAGAGATATTTAATGGCAAGGTATAATTGGATACAGCGCAAAAGCAGATTAAAGATATTCCGAATAATGACTCTGGGGTAATTGCTGATAAAACTAATACCAAATAACTATCAAGAGCAATTTTATTTGACAAATTGGTAAATTAATTTTTGTTATATTTTAGTTCAATTGAATTTTTTTTCTATTTTTTTCAAAGAATTAATTACTATTGGGGCTACGCCCTACCCCAGCCTTCGAACGGGAGGGAGTGTAGCCTGGGAATCACAAATGGCGCCGAATCAGCCAAATGGTCAGCTTAAAATAACTCCTCATAAAAATCTCATCGAAAATTTTTGCAGAAGCTGACAAAATCTTATTACCCAGATAAGAATAATAAAAAGAAAGAATTAAGGGTTTATTTTAATCTTCTGCTTTAAAATTATTTAATTAATATTTACAGAATCAAAAATATTGACATTATGACATGTGAAATTTAGCGCCTCCAATCATGTGATTTGTTTAACTTCTGTCTTATCCGTTGGAAGCTTTTCAATCTTCTGTTTTTAGCAAAAATCTAATATTCCATTTAATGGCTAATGAAAAGCACAATGATAATTTACCTCAACTTATTGAATCACAAGTTATTTTATACATTATTTTAGTTATAGTTTTAAACTATTTATCTTTACCATTAATTATTAAATATCTTGTTTATCAAAGTTTTAATAAACGTTTTCAATTGCACTACAGTTAAGAAATTCTTAAATGAATTTTTTAAATTAAAAAGATAAAATTATATTAAACTTTATTTTTACTTATTTCCCATTTATGCCTGATTTTCAGAATGATTATGATAATTTACATTGTTTGAAATTAATATATGTATATACAAGAAATTTCATGTCAGTTCAATATGAATATGTCAAGTAATATATAGTGTATAAAGTGTAATTCTGGATTGAACATGGAATCTCATTTTATATAAAATAAAATAGCTTCCTTTTTTAATAGTATTCTATTTTACCCTTCTTTTCATTATTTTAAATAATTTCTATTTTTCTAAAAATAATACCCACTTTTTAAGGTATTTTTCTGAAATTTTATGATGCACTTAATTTGATTAACATTTCTGATTATTTGTCCTCAATTACATCTCAAATCAAACTGAATATTTTTTTATTCTTTGAACTATTTTAATGTAATATGTTCAAAATAATTTTACCAGCTTAGTCAATTTTTAATAAAGGATTGACACAAGATTTTATTCAACAAATAAAACTTAAACCTTTAAATCTTGCATATATATGAGAGAGGGTTGACACTCGACAGAATCTAGACTTAAATAATGTATGTAATTTGGGGTAAGATCTTGATTTAGCTATTTTTTAAAATTATCAGGTTTTTGATAACACAAGTCTTAATCAATTGATTATCTGAAATATAACTAACTAACAGATTACAGCATTCTTAACTTAATTTAACTTGTAATATATTCAGTTTATAGATGTTTTTATTCTTTGTAGCTTTCCTATATTGGTCAAATACATTTAACACATTCAAAGTAGTATGTTTAGATCTTTCTATATTTACTTAATTTTTCTTAGATCTTCTTTTCTGCCTCCGACCCCTATCTTTTTCCAAAATTGTTATTTTCTTAATTTTACATAAATCTCGTGATAGACATGGTGCATGTATAAAGTCAAAAATAGGTACTATACCCATCTTTTCTATACACTCAACCATGATATTCTGGCCTTTTTTTGACATCAATATAATTATATTGTTTTAGGTTCATTCCATTTTTCATGTTCCATTATTTTATGCACCATATTTGCACAATCTACTATAGCTGGGATAGCATCTGAATTTAAAAATATATTCCTTAGTTTTGAGTGACATATGTTTTATGGATTATACCTCACCTTTTCCAACTACAACTAATTCCTGCATAGACATTGAGGTCAGCATTTTCTTGGGTATTTAACCTTTCATCTAGGTAACAAAACTGATCCAGTGACTCAATTATATTATAGTGCTGTAAAATAACTTTGAGGAAAATAATGGCATATTTTTTTGAGGAAAAGGAACATCATTTGTTACTTGCTTCAAAAGGCAAAGAGTAACACCAATTTTACTAGTGCAAAACGTTACTTGTTGCTTAAAATCTTTCTTAAAAAAATATATATTTTTAATTTTGTAAATAATTTATGTCTAATTTGTAATTTTGATCAACCGCTAAAGTTCTTCATTTAATTTTATTTATTATATTTTTGTTGTTAAATTTATACAGTCAAAATTGTTAATCTAATTAATATTCAATCAATCAAGGTATATGTAAATTTATATTTTCTTATATCATATTTCATTTAATTATTATTGATTAAACAACTTTTAAGTTTATACCTGATAACAACATATCTTTAATCCCTCAACATCTTTTATGAATCCAGTTTTTACGTGCACAGCACAATAGAATCCCCCCCCCCAACGTTTTATCACCTCCATATCAATGCCAAGAGCATACTGTATTTTTAATGTTATAATTTGTCATATTTTAATTTTGGGGAAATTAATTTTTAGACCCATTACTTCCACATTTCCATTGGGCTAGTCTGTCTAGTAGCTCTGTTCAGTTTGATACTATTAGGGATTAGATCATGCAAATAAATGATTTCCCAGCAGCCTTTGACATAATTCGTGTACTTCATGGCCATTTAAATCAAATTTTATAAGAGATTTTAACGGGCCAGGTGGGACAATTCATACATATAAAAATTTCGGCTTGGGCCAGACAATCTAATAAAAAATATCAGGCAGGGTCTCGCGAATCTGAGATTTTTCTCTAAATTTTAATAGGCCAGCCCGGACATTCAAGTTTCGATATATATATTTTTTTTAATTTCAAGCACATATTTTGATTAATATACTATTTGAAAATAAATTATTCTATATTTAAAAGCTGTCAGAACTAAAATTGCCATTGTAAAATTGCTATAAAATTAAACAAGTTATATTTTATAAGATCCAATTACGAATACAAAATACAGACATCAAACAACGCAATTGATTTAATGCTTGTAGAAATATAGATAGCTATAAAGGATAGTTATTATAGTTGGGTAATTAATGTATTTTTAACTGTTTAAGCCAATCTTTAGCCGGCTAAAAATTCGGTTAAACCGAGTTATCACCTTGGTCTCGGGATTTTTCCTCAAAAATATAGCAGCTCAGATTTAAAGGAAAACTATTATGAAAATTAAAATTCTTTAAAGTTAACAGATTTTCTCTAGCATGCGCCTGTATATTGAGCCGAATTGGCCGACATCTAGTCATTACTCAACTGTAGTAAGTTGTAAGAATTTTAATTGACATTTAGGAGAGAGGGGGGGGGGTTGGAATTAGATACAGATATCAAAAATGTGATGGCAAGAAAATTCGTAAGAAAGAATTTAAAGGCCCGAGGCGTGTACTTTTCATGAGATTTTAACGGGCCGGGCAATTTTTTTTAAAAAACTATAACGGATCGAGCCGAGTAAAAAATTTAACGGAATGGGCTGTAAATATCTAACATATAGAGAGGTACAGTTACTCGTTAACTTTTGGAATTGTTCTTGTACTTTAAAGAAAAAAATGGTAGATCCTTAGAAGTGCTGCTAAATTAATAATATCTTAAAAGCTATTTTCGTAAAGATGTTTATAGGGCGGGCTAATTTTACTCCAAAAATAGTCTTTCCTGGAATAAACAAACGTTTACATTGGCGTACGCAGCAGGGGGCAGGAGAACAAATCCCCCCCCCTAAGCCAAAAAATGCAGATGCCGGATATATTTTTCAAAAATATTATTAATTTATATTTGTTAATATTTATTCGTATCTCTTAAATATATATTTAGTTACATTTATTATCACATTTATCTACTAAGTTATTTTATCAATTAATTTCGATTTCAAGTTTTCCGGCGTAATATTTACTTATTATTTTCAAACTTTTAGTGGCGTAATATTTATCTACCATTTTCAAATTTCTACTCAAATAATAATTATTTATGAAACTTCTTGTCCAACAGGGAAAAAGAAATTGCAACCTTGTCCAACGAGATAGAGTCTCTGCCATCAATCAGTAACAGCTTTTAAGGAGTTAGAAGAGCCAATTATTTGCTATTACTGAAATAAATATTTCCTCAGAAGCAAGAAAATTATTGGATTAAATGCTTATTCCAAATTTTATTTCTCATTAGAATGTATTATTTAATTATACAACTATTTTAAGTATTACTTTTCAAAAACATGACATTGACTTAATTAAGAAGATGAGAATAGCGGAGAGCATTTTATCAGAACTCAAGGAAATTAGGGCTAATGTTGATGAAGAATTTTATATTTTATTGTTGAGTCAAAAGCAGAGCTATACGTGTTTAATATTTGTCTCCCTCGACTTGTAGCAAGGCAAGCTCTATTAAAACATTAATATAGGATCAGTAGAAGAGTATATCTTAAATACAGATACATTTATAGCCCAAATAAATGAATTTTTAATTCATCATGCAGCACTTACTAATCTGCAAATATTACTTCCACAAAAGTCTTCCCAACCTTTTTCAAATGGTGATAAAAAAAATATTTGTTAGATTTAAGATGTTAAAGTATCTTATGATGCCTTACTAGCTGAATAACTATGTTTATAAGATTAACTATGGTTGATATAGTCCCAAAAAATGCTATGGATGCTCTGCATTATTTCAAACACATTTTAGATTAAATTCCCAATGTATTAAAAGGGTTTATAAACTCTTCCCATTAGTAAACTAATGAGAGAACATTCTCTTTTTTAAGAAGAATAACAGGCCTGCAGAAGTACCATTTGCAGGGCACGGCCCGGATTTTTTTAAAAATTTTTAGGCCCGGCTTTTTTAAAATAAATTTTAGGCCCGACTCGACTTTTTTAAAAATAAATTATATTTATTTTTGTTTTTTAGCTAATAATAACGATATCAAATATAGGCTGTTTTAAAAAATACAGCCCGGATTGGGTGTTTTTTTTAAAAAATTTCTGGCCCGGCCCAGGTATATTTAAAAAAATTAAAATACTTCTAGCCCAGGGGCCGAGCCTGCAGGTGTCTGAAAAACATACCAAGAAGTACAACAACTGAAAGTAGATTGAAAGGTTTGTATCTTTTGAACATAGGCATTTGACGACAAGCAAGGATGAGATAATTGAAAAATTAGCTCAATCACAACGAAGATAATATTTTACATTGTAAATATATAACATACAAAATGCAATTATTCCTAAGAAACTTTTTGTGTAAAGGCTCAAAAAATTCAAATTTCTATTTTGGGTCATTTAAGTGATTCTTTACATATAATTTTTTTATAATTCACATAAATTTAAAATTGTGTATTAGAAATAGTTATTAGTCCTAATAAATTTATGCTTAATATTTTTAAAAAACAATATTTCTTACCCCCCCTACCCCCCCAGACCAAATTCCTGCGTACGCGCCTGAACGTTTAGGAATATTTGCTTGGTGTAAGGGAGATAGTAATTTTAAGAATGAAGTCGTATAAAATATAGCAAATGAATGAATTATAAATAAATATGTAAAATATAAAAAGATAACTTGAAAAATAATAAATTTATCGATACATTTCAAAAAAATACGTACTTGAATTTTTTGAAAAAATATATCTAGTTACATTAGCAAAACTATTTTTTACATTTTATTTCCAACACTTATCATTTTTATCCGGAAGTCAAATATTTTTGTTTGCGAATTTCGATAAAATAATTTTCGTTTATTTACGGGAAAACGATAGACACAAACCGACGACAATACGGCATCTATTCCAGCCAATTTTCTAAGGATCGACCATGATAAGCCTCAGGATGCTCAAAATGTCGTCACGGCACGGTGTAATCCCACGGCAAGTGACGAAATGTTGGCCAGAAATTTGCAGATGCAGGAAAATATGGCTTGTTCCCCGTATCCTCCCAATTGTATCGGCAAACTCGACATAACTGTTTGTCAGGTATAAAATTACTATCTACTATATCTTTATTAATAAAAGTTCCTAAGCTGTAAAATTTAAGTTTTGCATTCGGGCGGGACTCCAAGATTCAGAAAATTGCTAACCGGATGTGTGGTTCATTAGAATTTTGAATAATTTTGAGGCCTAATTGGACTTGTCAGATATCTAGAATAAATGAATGCGTTAGTCTTGGGGGGTTATATTCTAAACCTATTCCTTCCTTGGTGGGCTTACGGCTAGTTTTCGCCCCAGATCCTATAGGATAACTATCTGCGTGTTGCTTATTTTAATAATATTTGATTTTAACACAATACAGCGATGGTGTAAGCCTAGCTGGAAACTAGTTTTTCCTAAATCTACTCAATTTAAGGAATCAAAATATCTTAATTTTATAAAAAATTTAACTTTATCACGTGATGACAGGCGAAACCTCCCAACTAAGTGTTGTTAAGCGGCTCTTTTCAAGCCAATTTTAAATTAAAGATTTAAGAGCTAAAATTGTAATTACGTATTTTTCGAGATTTCGTTAATATTTATCCAAACCTTTCGGCCATCTTTGAACCATTTAACAGCGTTAGTTCAGCTTATAAAAAAGTTACCTAACCCGCGAATTTCGAGCAATTTTTACCGCATATTTTCTTAGTGTCCGAATCTTCTATCCAAGAACGAACCTTAAAGTTAAGACTTAATAAGCATTGCACCATATCATATAACAATACAATATTTGTATAAAAAACACAAATTAGGCGAACTTAACAAAGGCTCACACCCCGTTTAATATTCCTTTCGTCAGAATGGACCCGTATGTCAAAATTATTCTCGGTAATTTTGTATTCGAAACCTCTACCGACTTGAACGGTTCCACCAATCCAAACTGGAATCAAACCCTTTTTTGGTAATACTTAAAACATTTATTTATGTCAATCAATCTTTCATTTTTTTTAAAAAAAAAAAAATAGTTTTTATATTTACGTATCACGCAAGTGGTTTGGATAAATTATTTAAAACTTTAATCATTTATAGCTCGCCTTTTTATTTTTTAAAAATTTTTTTTTATTTGCTGGAATTAGTGACCATCAATGGTGCGGTCATTTAAAAAACTAGAACCCTACCCATTTAAAAGTGGTCCACAGCTGGGTAGGTCTTTACGGTCCGGACCGTTAAAAAATTTTAACTGCTAAATATGGCTTAATTTAGTTTAGGCCAGGGTTGGCCAAGTTTTTATCGTATTTTTTAAGCACAATTTCGTATTGATTAAATTTTGTTTTATTATTACAAAGCATAACGGGGATTTTAAAATAATTTTTGGCCCGCATTTTGTAAATCTTTTTAAAAGGAAAATAATAATAATAAAAATAATATGAGAAGAAAATGAGGTATTCCAACCTATTTTGATTATAATTTTAAAGAAAAAATGGCCCTGGTTTTGTAAAAAAAAAAAAATTTTTTTTTAGTTCTGCCTGATTGGCCGAAAAAATTATTTTTGGTTCAGCCTGATTAGCCGAGAAATTAGTTCTGTCTGATTGGCCGGTCTTTGGATATTTTTTTTAACTACACCCAGCCCGGTTTTTATAAAAATTAAACCATCTACGGCCCATCTTTTGACCTTGGCCCGCTAATATTTTGGTATTTTGTCGACCAAAAATACTGTTCGATGCCTCTATTTTTAACAAACCTTAGCAGATAGATCTGGTATTTCGGTACCAGATTGATTATCAAATTTTATTTATAAATGGAAAAAGGTATATGTATGAATTATGTCTAATATCTTTATTTTATTTTATTTTTTTCTCCTTAAAACAACTGAAATTTTTAGTTATCTACCTTACGTCGTTAACACTATGAACGTTGAAATATATGACGAAGTAAAATATATAAATATTTTGATATATCGATATATTTTTTTTTAAAAAATACAAAAAAATAAAAGTATGCCAAAACTTTAAAGGTCATTTTATTACAGTGTACAATAAATTTTTTTTTTTAAAAAACAATATTTACCTTTTTGTCTGCAATTTTATGACTTTTTCTTAAATAACATCATCCCTACTATGATTAGTCTGATCAAAATTAGTATATTATAAATACTCCATATCTGACATCATTTATATGGACGGTTGGCGATATCTTTCGATATCCTTAATTCTATTCAGGGATGGAAAAATAGCAAGGATGGTTAAGTGCCAAAGACTAAAATTAACGACAATCTACTATTGAAATTTTTTTTTTATCATATGAAAAATCAATCCGAAATTATGTTTATAAACTTATTTTATTAATTTGCTTTTGTTTGTAATAAACTGATTTTATTATGCTTTTAATGCTATAGTAAAAAAAAACTCATTTTGTTAAATTTACAACTGGGTACAAGGTTTGTAGGTATTCTTGAGAAAAAAATTGGCATAATGTAGTTTTGGGTTTTGTTGTTATTTAATACAAACAAATATTTCTATACAATAATAAATTGTCTTGTTATCAGTGAGTGGTATGATTAAAAATTAAAGTTATTGGTTGAGCCTTGATTCTAGGGCTGTGCCGATCCACATATTTTCACAGATCCGATATTTTCCTATATGGCTTCAAAACCGATCCGATATTTTTACTGATTTTTTTTTCAATCATAAAAAAAGGAAGTTTATATTGTAAAACATTTAAAATATTTGATGACTTAAATTATAAGTAATGTATTTTGTGCTGGACCGGACATAAAGTTAAATTTGTAGATATGCAAATCATGCATATTTAGTTAAAATAACATTTTACAACGATGCTTTAGTTGAAATGTTATGCTTTAACGATCAATGCTGATTGATGTTATTACATATTCTTAAAATTTAGCAGTATTCAGTGACCCCCTATAACATTTTCTTTTATATAGTGAAGAAACATTTAGCCGCCCTCCAGGTTTATGGCCCACTTTTGTCTGGCCTTCATGAGGGTTTTATATTTATAGATTTATAATAAACTTGCTTAAAGTTTTACTTGAGTCAAAGGCCTGCATAGTTACCATTTGTACGGCCCAACAAATTTTTTTTTAAAAAAATTTTCGGCCCAGCCCTGCGTATATTTAAAAAAAATTATAACCGCCTGGCCCATGTACCCGGGCTTAGGGCCGGGCTTGCAGGTCTCTGACTTGAGTATTTATAATTAATTTTTTTATAACAACTAATAAATACTAAATTTTTATTACCATTAATATTTTCTTTAATATCCCATGTACAATTGGGCAAAAGGTAAAAATTGGCAAATTTTAGCTCAATCTTTAGGGGCGTGCCGAAGAAAATAAACTCTAAGGCACCTGTTAATTTATTTCCTAAAAATCTATTATATTTTAAGAGTTATGCTTATGTTCTCTCATTTTTGCATTTGTTCGAAGCGGTCTTTTACTCGGGACGAAAAGGTGGCTTGGACCTCAATAAATCTTCCCAACACATTTTTCGACAGCCTTAAAGGCGGTATGGAGGACAAATGGTACGATCTGCAAGGCAGAGAAAATAACGAAAACGCCGGGAAAATAAGGATCGTCACAAATTTTTTGGTACCGTCCTAGCTGTTTTATTGTTCTTAATATCTCATTAGCGTTTTTTTTTTCGGGAAAAATGAATATGGTAATTTCTCGTTAGTTTTTTGACAATCAAGAATGAGTTTGAAATATTTTAATTTTTTTTTGATACTGGAAAGGAAATTATGTTTAGATTTTTTTTTTTAAAAAAAGGAACAAATTAGCCTTAGACTGGCATCTAATTATTCACTGAATCTTTAAAAGTTTGTATATTACCATAATGCTACTGACTAAAACCACAGGTGGAATAAAAGGTATAAAACTTATAGAGGGAGGGAGGTCGGAATAATAAGTATAACATTATTATCTTAAATATTATTATTGTACCGAAATCAATAGTAAAATTCAGGGGGGTTAATTTCAATTGGATTATATAAATCTGAAATTTTTAATACATTTGAAGGACATTTTTTTTAAAAAATATTTAAATTAAGACTATGAAATTATTGTTTTTTAAAAAATGATGAAAAATAATAGCCTATATCCGTTCTGCCCAACGCAAATCCCATATGCTTTCCTACAGCTATTCCTCCCCCGCCTCTTGCTCCAAATACTATGATCGTACCAAATCAAATTATTTTATCACGTAATTATTTTATTATTAATATTTAATTGATTTGGGTATGTAAGAAAATAATTTCAAAATTCGACAAGATTAAAGAGTGTGACGTGACTCAATCAAATATAATTGGGATAATATTTTTAGAAGATTTGGGGATTCAAACTGTTACGAGTATCTGCTAGGTTCAGGTGCTCGTAAAAAGTTAGAATATTGGTTCGGTTCGCTTTATAAAACCGGTTTACGCCTTTTGTATGCAAAACTGATTAGAATTATGTTAGATGTATATTTTTTTTAAATTTTTTTTTTTTAATTTAATGCACTCATTATACTATTTTCCTAAAAAAGAAATACCATTAAGGTATACAAACTATATTTTCAAGATTTTCTTCGGGTCTAATCGTATCTATAAGAAGAAAGATTAAGTTTTTATAGTTGGTTAAACTTCTTTGCCTCGGGTGCTGAGTCAAAATAGCCATGACAAAATTATTATTACGTTGTCCGCTTAAGACTCTTAGAATGCTGCTTATGACTCTTAGAATAGTAATCCACAAACTTTATTCAATGATTAAATAAAAATGAAATGTAAACAAATTTTAATAATCGAATTTTTACAATTTTTATAACCAAAAAAAAGAATGAATATGATATTAATGGGATTCCCTTTTACTATGAAGCTATGACTTACCAAAATAATTTTAAACTAAAAATACATTTCTTAAAAATTATAAATCCCAGAATCATAATTATAATTTTTAAAAAATTTACACTAAAAATAACTCAAAAATTGTAAAATATAAAGTTAACGCGATAAAATTTAAATTATATAAAAATAACTCACAAAACGAAATCCCCTTAAAAAATTTAACTTTATAAATAATATTTTCATTCACTTATGACACTCCCTCAAAAGAAAGAAGGAAGTCCGGTAATCGCAACCAAGAGGAGTTGTCCACAGATTTACCAGTGTTAAGGGTAGGTGAAGAAGAATATCGGCAATGTAGTCGCTGAAGGGGTATAGGGAGGGGTGTCATAAGTGAACGAAAACAGAGTGCGTGAAAGAAAAAAAAGAAGGAAGTCCGGTAATCGCAACCAAGAGGAGTTGTCCACAGATTTACCAGTGTTAAGGATAGGTGAAGAAGAATATCGGCAACTATTGTAGTCGCCGAAGGCGGGAAAGGGGGGGGGTGTTATAAGTGAACGAAAATATTATTTATAGTGTTGAATTTATTTTGGTAAAGTCATTATTTGTTTTGTGAGTTATTTTTATATTTGCAAAAGTTAATTTTTGGTTAAGTCATTATATTTTACAATTTTTGAGTTATTTTTAAGTGTAATTTTTTATAATTATGATTCGGGGATTTATAATTTTTAAGAAATGTATTTTTAGTTATTGCTTCCCTATAAAAGGGAAGCCTATTGAAATCATATTCATTCTTTTTTTTGGTTATAAAATTTGTAAAAATTCGATTATTAAAATTTGTTTTCATTTCCATTTTTATTTAATCATTCAATAAAGTTTGTGGATTACTATTCTAAGAATCATAAACAGCATTCTAAGAGTCTTAGACAACGTAATAGTTCTTTTTAAATAATATTTTCATTCACTTTTGGCAACTATCTAAAAATGGCGACTGTTACTTGTCAATTAATGATTGATAATAATATTTTAATCCGTCATGATAACAAAAGGTGTGGACCGGTTTTGAGAAATTTTCGAATACGGTTCGGTTTAGGTTCAATAAATAATAAGGATTATTATCGGTTAAGTTTGTCTCCCTTTAGCAGATTAGTTCAATCACTTAAAAATCATTTGCCGCCTTTATAAAGTTACTAGTTGATGATAACCCGTCAAGAATGACGGGAATAAAAAAAAATTATTAACTATTATAGGAAATTTTTTATTAAATAAAGAAGAATATTCAGTGAATATATATAGATTTTATTAAATTTAGCGTAAAATATATGAAATTGTAATAAAAAATGTAGGGAAGATATGAATAAATTGGTAATATATGTCATTTCCCAGAGTTCACATATTATTGGTGAGATAAAATTTTTATTTTGCCTTTTATTTTTCAATTGGCTAAATATAATTAAATTAATTTGTTAAATTTAAAGTAATATAACTTAGGAGTAGTGACTTTGATTAATTTTCTGGCATATAGTGGCATAGTTACATAGTTTCGATATTTATCTTACACGAGAGGGTAAGATTGATAGGAACTATAAATTTTTTCACTATTATAATGGAAATTTTTTTAAATTTAGTTTTTAATTGGCTAAATATATAGTATCTTTATTTGTCGAATTGATATTTTAATAATTACTTGGGTTAATTATTTTATTTTTTAAAAATGCTATACTATTTTAAATCTAATGACTTACGTTAATTTTCTGAAATATGGAGGTAAATTCCATTAAATAAGGATAAATAGAGTCCATTTGAATAATGAAGTAAATACTAAAAATTAAATTAAAATTATTTAGTTAGATAAATATATTACTTGAGAGGGTAAGTATGATGGTGGTAATAAAATGAGGAATTTATTTTTAGACTTTTGCCTACTGGTAGCGCTTGTACCAATCAAATCAGCTTTATTTGATGAATAAGTGAGAAAAGAATGATTTATATTAGCATTTTGAGGTGTAGGTAATGAAACTAATAGAGCATTTAAATTTTAAGATTTTTTCTTACTACGTAAATATTAATTGCTTGAATTGATTAATTAGATTCAGGATCATTTTTATAAAATAATTAAGTTAAAAAAACTTAATAAATAATTAAACTCTTTGGTTTGGAAATATTTCTTTTTTCCATAATAATAAATAAATAAAGTTTGCTTGGGTTGAATATGAATTTAGGAAATTGACGACGTTTCAATATAAAAGGTAGTTGGGGTTCACTTGGTGCTAAATCAATCCCAGGTATAAAACTCTGTAACCTTTACCATCTATAGAAATATCTGGTAGTAGTTGAGGTAACGTCAATAGCCTGGATAACCTGATCAAACGCATGTCTCTGTAAAACATTAAGATTGGCTACCATAACCATTACGACTTCTGCTTTTATTATTGGGTCATATAAATTAGATTGAGTGATAGGGTCAGGATTTGGAAGATTAAAATCGTTGCAATTAATCTACACAGGCTATAACTGAGCGAGTTAAACATCCAGCAAATACTAAATGTAACATAGATATTATGAAACATTTAGATCTTTTAATACGTCAAATCAATCTCTACGATCTTAGTTTTAACACCTTAGGTGAGGTTCTACAATCTGCATTGTAATTTTCAACCAATTTCAATACATAAATACCTGCCATCAATATGATCTTTAAAGGAGATCCCTGAAATGAAGAAAGAAGAATAAATGGGCAGCCTCTCAGAGATTCTTTTGAAGTGGAACATGTAGATTTTAAATAATCCATTAAGCCGGAATATTCTTCTACGCGAAGCTTAGATTGATTAAATTTTATATAGTTAATGTTATTAGCCTCAACCTGTAAATAGGAATCAACTATATATTGTTGAGTTAGACGCCCTGCATTAAGAAGAGGATTAAAAATATTTTGGCGTATGGTTACGTGCAATTTTAAATTGTAACATTGAAATTTTAGATCTAGATGAATGTTCAAAACCTTCAGCTATCATATTAAGAGACCGACAGGTTCACCATGGGGGAAGAGTATGGGATATACCATGGGGTCTAAATTTGGACTCAATACGTTAAGAATAATAAGATCATTCTCATCTCTTTTAAAAGGAGGTTCATCTTCATTGTTAAAAATCATAGCTACGTCATCCATAGAAAATTATAATGGCGCCGATCGCATGATATATCGCATTTAAAGATCATATTGATGGCAGGTATTTTTGTATTGGAATTGGTTGAAAATTCCAATGCAGATTGTTGAACCTCACACAAGGTCCTAAAGCTAAGAGCGTAGGGATTAATTTGACGAATTAAATGATCTAAATGTTTCATAATATCTATGTTACATTTAGTATTTGCTGGATGTTTAACACGCTCAGTTATAACCTGTGTAGTATCTAATACATATAACTGTGCATAAGTGAGTATTAGAGGGTGGATATAAGTAAGAAGTACGATGAAATATTTGCCCATGAACTTAGAAGCAATAAGGACCACTACCTGAAAACTCCGATATTTGAACTCTCATAGAAGCAAGTGCTAGCTGAATTATAAGAACGTATATTTATCATAAAATCTATATAAGGAATCCTGTGGGTTTGATAAAAGATTTTGTAAATAAGGTGGGTAAGGTATTTGTATAAGTTTAACTTTCCCTTTACAACAATGATTGAATTTAGAATCTGAAGGTTTTTCAAATAAAAACAGAATCTGAAGGTTTTTCAAATAAAAACAAAATTTGCATATTATATTCATAGGACCGCAAGTATGCTCAGTTATTAAATTCTTGGCATCATTATTAATTGTAGTAGTTATTAAAAGAATTTTAGAAATTAAAGTGTTAGGGAAGATTGTTTTATATTTTTGCCTAAAACGGGCAGCGCTTGTAATAATCATAGCAGCTTTATTTGATAATTCAGTGATCAAATATTGGTTTAAATTATCAGTTTGAGTTGTAGGTAATGAAACTGATTGAGTTTTGTTATATTTGGATTTTATTTGATTTCGTAATTCATGAAAAAGTTCCTTAAAATAATGTTATTATTTTTTACAATTTAAAAATAGGTAAACTAGAGGTCTGCAAAGTTATGCACGGCCCGAGTCAGGCCCGGCCCATTCGGGCCTGTCCGGACTAGGACCTAATTCTATTTAAAATAATTGGGTTCGGGCCTGGTCTAATATTTAAAAAAAAAAATTCGGGCCGGGTCGGACCTTGGAATTTTTTTTAAATATATCTAAATTTTTTATATTTTATGTAAAATACTAGCTATTCTACTTAAATTTAAAACATGAGCAATTTATGTTCCTCGAGATACATTTTGTCAGATTTGAACGGAAATCTTAAAGAGGATATTTTTTGGAACATATAGGTATCATTGTTCGATGATTGAATAAATTATTAATATTAATTAATTTTTAAATTTTATGCTAGAAAGATCATTTTTATAATATTGATTGAATAAAAAAAAATTGTATTTTATCAATGTCGAGACAATATTTCTTTATGCTCTTCTAGCCCTGAACCAGAACCCTTTTTTAAATTTTTATCTGAACTCCTTCTTTGTTGTTAAAGAGGGTTCACACCACTTCTGATGTATAGTGATGGAAGGCGTTTTAAGAGAGAATACATTAAGTAACTAATAATCCTCGTTGTAACAAAATTCACAATTTTTTAAAAATAATATACAGTTGTGTGGCTGGAAAGAGCGTGTAGGTGGGGTATTGGTATGTCAAAAATTCTAAAAGAATAATATTTTCTCGAGTAGCTTATTCAATCAAAAAGATTTTTTTCTTAATCAGGGCTACGGTCGCTGAGGAAAGTCAAACTTTTTTAAAGGGATCATATTTTTTGCATATATAATTTTTTTCGTCTCTAAAGTTTTCTTAATTTTATCTTTGCCAAACCTGCAGCCCGAACTTCTAACCTCCGAATTCTGCCACGTTTCCCTGTGTCTAGGCGGCTTATTTTGTCTACCCGCATACGAACTCAGTTGTCTTCAAACCAGGCCTTCTTCATAATTTTCCCACTTGTCTTAATTTCATCTATGTCATACCTGCAGCAAGAACTTCTAATCTCCGAATTCTATCACCATGTCTCCCGGTATCTAGGCGGTTTATTTTGTCGACTCGCATACGAGCTCAGTTGTCTTCAAACCAGGCCTTCTTCATAACTTTTCACTTGTCATTTACCCCAGGTGCTTGTGCAACCTTCGCCTCATAGCTTTATTATTACTATTAGCTTTATCATTTCGAGTAAAAATGTTAGGCGAAAGAATTAACCTTTAAAAATAGAATGTTTGAAAATACGAATAAAGTTTAACGAAAGCATCTTCTTTACCTATGGTATAAAATAATAGCCTCAAAGACTTATCAACAATTGATCTCTCTTCTAGATAGAATAATTCCTGTGATACTATTCAAGCAAACTATTCAAGCAAACGGGGACATTGACTGAATTTTAAAACTTTATAAAAAGTTATATACATATTAGGTGGTCGTTCATTTTATTGAATCACGCCCACCTACCCATTTTAATATAATATTCTAAAATGTCATTTTTAAAAAAATATATACAACTTAAAATAAAGACAGATATAATTTTAAATTATTTTTTAAGTTAATGGTTTTTAAAAATTGCTAACCTTGTATTTATTACTCATAAAAAGTAAATATTTATAAATCTATAAACCTTTATAATATTAAATAAGAAAAACGTTTATTAACTAATATGGAAGGCCTGCCAGCATATACCAAAGCCCGGCCCTAAAAATAATTCTTTATTCGAAAGCCGTGCTGACCCTAACTTTAAAAAAATCGTTATTATATCGATTTGTCAGCTAAAAAAATCATATAATGTAGCTTTCCATGTTATATTTACTGCACATATTTCCAATATCCTTTTTTAAAACCATTTTGAAAAAAAAACATCAAAAATTTTTAAAATTTCAGACCGAACCATAAAATGATCAAAAATTAAAACGGAAAGGAAGCCGGGCAGGGTTTGAAAATTGGAAGGAAAAAAATTCAAATCTTAACCGGCTGGAAAGCCAGTTATCATTTTTTAAATCATTTTTTATTTTCAAATCCACAAATATTTATTGTAAAAATTTAAGCCGAAAATTACGAAATCCAAATGAAAAAACTGAAAGACATGTTCCCGAATCTAGACGTCGACGTTATAAAGCCCATTTTTGACGCTAATGGTATGGACGAAAACCGAACAGTAAACGCTTTGCTCTCCCTCAACGAATAAAAAGAGAAATTATTAAATCCGTTTTTTTTGGCAAAATTTAGAGGACAAGAAATATTTAATTTAATTTTTTTATTAAATATTTATTTCACATTAAATTATACATTATACAATGGTCATTTGAAGCTTCAGCTCACAAACAAGATTCATATGCTTTAATTGCAATTTCGACACGTTTCATTTTGAATTTTATTTAAAAGATAAATTATAAGAGTTAATATTATTTTATAAATATTTATTTGTAATATTATATTTTTTAAATTTTAAGTTACGATATGTAAAATATCAAAACTAAAAATTTGATTTTTATAATTTAATTTATATTTTACAACGTTTAAATAAATATTTTTATTTATAATTATAATTTTTTAAAATAAAGAATTTATATTTTGCTATAAATTATTATAGCATAAAAAATTAGCGTATTATATCTATAAATAAAATTATTTACTTTTTATGTCCTTTTACACGAATTTATATCTGATTAATTATTATAAAATTATTATTATTTATTGTTATATAGACCTTTGTTTTAGGGGGTGCAGAAAGAAAAATATTTGGTTGCGAGGTTATTTTAAACTAAGCAATGTTTTAGCACAATTAGCGATTGAATGAAAGTAGATACAGAAGAATCCCACATCGATGGGAGTTTAGGTTCAGTTAAAATGACGGTCCAGGTCTGGTTTGTAAAAAATTATAACATCGGTTTGATATAAACCTTTAAAACCAGGGTTCAAACTACATACCTAATACCTGTAAATATGTATAAAGAAACACTATAGATTTTATCTCTAATCCTATACAATAAGCTACTAACGTATATAATAATTATTTAGTATACGTATGTATAGTATATGTATTTAGACCTATCCTCCGATATCTCAATCGGGGTTGGCGTTTTTTTTAATAAAAAATTTATCGACCCCACCGAAATAGCTGCCGCTTAATTGGCGTCGGCGGTGTTACATATTTGTAAGAAAATGAATTTAATTTATAAATTATTGTATTACATTTTTTTAGTTGCCCAATCCCTTAGCAATCTGTGGGGGCGAGGCTTTCCAATATAAGTTTCAGGAAAAAAAAATAATTTTTGACACCGGAAATTCAAATGAGGGGTTAAATCTTCTATATAAGATTTTTTAGAAATCTGCCAATCAAATATTTTAAGTATTCACTTCTCCCTTCGATGTAACAACATTAATTTTCAGGTATGTTTTTTTTATATTCTGCTTAGGAAATGTTCTTTTATTGTAGAAAAAATATACGATAATTTTTATACTTTAGGAAAATAGTCCTAAATATGTTTGAAATTATGCTAAGTAGCTGTAGCATTTTTTTGAACATTATTAACCATATTTAACTTTTTATTCCACCATTTGCATTCACCGTGTAATGCATGATGGAATACTTTTAAATCCTCACAATAAAAATCTAAATATTTTTCTCTAACAACATTTGAAATAGATTTGGTATGTGCTGCCCATTGGCGTACGCAGCCGGGGGGGGGCAAATCCCCCCCCCCACCAAAGCCAAAAAATGCAGATGATTATTTATTTTTTTAAAATATTATTGTTTATATTAATTTATATTTGTTAATATTATTCGTATCTCATATTAAATATATATTTAATTACATTTTATATCACATTTATCTACTAAGTTATTTTATCAATTAATTTCGATTTCAAGTTTTCCGGCGTAATTTATCTTATATTTTCAAATTTCTAGTCAAATAATAATTATTTCTGAAACTACTTGTCCAACAGGGAAAAAGAAATTGCAACCTTGTCCAACGAGATAGAGTCTCTGCCATCAAACAGTAACATAAGGGTTAGAAGAGCCAATTATTTGCTATTACTGAAATATCACAATGGCCTGAAAGTAATATTTTCTCAGAAGCAAGAAAATTATTGGATTCAATGCTTATTCCAAATTTTATTTCTCATTTGATTGTATTATTTAATTATACAACTATTTTAAGTATTACTTTTCAAAAATATGACATTGACTTGATAGAAGAAGAGAATAGCGGAGATTTTACCAGAACTCAAGGAAATTAGGGCCAATGTTTAATAATTTTATATTTATTGTTGAGTCAAAAGCAGAGTTATACGTGTTTAATATTTGTCTCCCTCGACTTGTAGCAAGGCAAGCTCATCGTTAAAACATTAATATAGGATCAATAGAAGAGTATATCTTAAATACAGATACATTTATAACCCAAATAAATGAATTTTTAATTCATCCTGCAGCACTTACTAATCTGCAAATATTACTTCCACAAAAACCTTCCCAACCTTTTTCAGATGGTAATAAAAAAAAAATATTTATTAGATTTTTATTATGAAGATTTTAAAGTATCTATGATGCCTTACTGCGCTGAATAACTATGTTTATAAGATAAACTATGGTTGATATAGTCCCAAAAAATGCTATGGATGCTCTGCATTATTTCAAACACATTTTAGATTAAATTCCCAATGTATTAAAAGGGTTTATAAACTCTTCCCATTAGTAAACTAATGAGAGAACATTATCTTTTTTAAGAAGAATAACAGAGGCCTGCAGAAGTATCATTTGCAAAGCACGGCCCGGATTTTTTTTAATGATTTTTTACGGCCCGGCCTAGGTTTTTTTAAAAAATTTTCAGGCCCGGCTCGGATTTTTTTAAAATAAATTATATTTATTTTTGATTTTTATAGCCAATAATAACGATTTCAAATATAGAATAAAAAATACAGCCCAGATTGGGTGTTTTTTTAAAATAATTCAGGCCCGGCTTGGTTTTTTTAAATATATTCGGGCCCGGCCCGGGTATATTTAAAAAAATTAAATAACTGCCCAGCCCCGGGGCCCATGTAGGTCTCTGAAAAACATACCAAGAAGTACAACATCTGAAAGTAGATTGAAATCTTGGATCTTTTGAATATTCATAGGCATTTGACGACAAGCAAGGATGAGATAATTGAAAAATTAGTTCAATCACAACGAAGATTGGATTTTACATTGTAAATATATAACATACAAAATGCAATTATTCCTAAGAAACTTTTTGTGTAAAGTCTCAAAAAATTTGAATTTCTATTTTGGGTCATTTAAGTGATTCTATACATATAATTTTTTTATAATTCACATAAATTTAAAATTGTGTATTAGAAATATTTATTAGTCGTAATAAATTTATGCTTGATATTTTTAAAAAACAATAATATTTCTTTAAAAATTTTATTATCCCCCCCCCCCAGACCAAATTCCTGTGTACCTGCCTGGTGCTGCCTGATTAATTAAGAATCTTTCATTCATTTTAGTTATAAAAGTATCCAGGAGGCGGATAAAGAGATAAAATTTATGGTATTCGTCTTTTGATATTAATATTGAAACGATAGACTCGCCTAGATGCAAGCCAAGTTAGATAAATATTAAATTCATAGAGATCAAATTTGAAATAAATATTAATTATAGAATAAATTAGTACCGTATTTATATCTGCTATAAATGTGTTATATATGCAATAAGATGTTGTAATCAGTAATTTATTTTTAAAAAATGTTATAGCCGGTATCGAAATTTTTTGTCTATAAGGAGGAGTGGGGTTGTCCTGCTTCCCTTCCCTGCTGGGTACCTGCCTGCGCATATAGGCTGAGATTTAAAAAAATTTAAATGACATACTAACTTTACGTTGTGTAAAAAAACATTTTACCTGCAAAAATGGAGGCAAAATTTTGAAAATTGGGGAAAAAAATGAAAAATGGGCAAATCTTTTTTTATTTATTGAATTTATAAAAAAAAATATTATTTAAGAAATCTTTAATTTTTATTTTTGATCAACTTTTACAGAGGGTTCGGATTCCCATATTAGGTTATTCCATTTCTTTGAATTAAAGTCAAAATTCGAAAATTTAATTGTCCTATCAATTTATTTGAAGACGGTTCTAGGTAAAATATAAGACAAAATAATCAGTTCTCTTTGGCAATATCGTAACACAGTGATATCAGGTCTTCTAAAAAATCGAGAACCCCCTGAATCAGAATTTTTAGGTCAGCGTCAAATTTCGAATCACGATTTCCCTTCTCTGTATACAGCTATAAAGGCTAATCTATGAATATTCACATTTTAAAACCTTCCCCGAATTATTAGAAACCAGAAGATTTTAAAAAAAATAGAAAAAAGGTTAACTATTTTTTTTATTTAAGTATCTATCTATATATATTATAATCACCTTAATAAAGAAATGAATGTTTTCCTATCATCTTAATGCTAATTTTTATTTTTTCTATCAACTTTCCTATCTTCTTAATGTTAAATAACTCGATGGAGACTATATCTCTCTAATGTTAAATATTAAGAAAATAATTTTTTGCACATCACGGGATTCGAACTTATGACTTATCGGTTTAAAGGCAAACGTTGTTCCACTCAGCCACCTTCTATATTTAAATTTGTAATATAATCTTTCATATATATATTATTATTTTGCTATTTTATTTTTAGTGGCTTATTAATCTTTATTTTTATTGGCTTATTAAGCTTTTATTTTATCGGTTTATATTTATTTTCTTTATTATATTATTTAATTTTAATTTTTAAAAATCAACCATTTTTAATTTGCCGAACTTCCTGAAATATTTTGAATTTACAAATCCATTCTGTAACAAGTTTAAGAAATAGATATTATATTAAATTTTTAGATAAAACGAGATTTTTAAGAAGATACAGAATAAATCAAATTATATTCTTCTGTAACAAGTTTCTGAAATAGATATTATATTAAATTTTTAGATAACAGAATAAATCAAATTATAAATTAGCATTTTTTAAAAATAATAATCTGATCTACTGAATATATATAACCTAATAGATATTATATTAAATTTTTAGATAAAGTAGATTTTTAAGAAGATACAGAATAAATCAAACTATAAATTAGCATTTTTAAAAAATAATAATCTGATCTACCGAATATATATTACCTTTATTATAAATTAATTTTACTTTATTTTATAAATCTTGATACTTTAAGTATAATTCATGTTCAAACCAAGCAAACTATTTATTTATCATCATGGAAAAAAGAAATACTTCCAAACCAACAAAAGTTTACTTATTTATTAAGTTTTTTTAACTTAATTATTTTATAAATCTTGATACTTTTAGTATAATTCATGTTCAAACCAAGCAAACTTTATTTATTTATCATCATGGAAAAAAGAAATACTTCCAAACCAACAAAAGTTTACTTATTTATTAAGTTTTTTTAACTTAATTATTTTAAAAAAATGATCCTGAATCTAATTACTCAACTCAAGCAATTAATGTTTACTTAGTAAAAAAAATCTTAAAATAAAAAAGCTCTATTAGTTTCATTACCTACACCTCAAAGTACTAATTCAAATCAATCTTTTTTCACTATCAAATAAAGCTGCTTTGATTGGTACATGCGCTACCCATAGGCAAAAGTCTAAAAATAAATTCCTAATTTTATTACCCCCATCATTCTTAACCTGTCAAGTAAAATATTTATTTAAAAAAATAATTTTAATTTAATTTTTTAGTATTTACCACATTATTTATTCAAATCAAATGGACTGTCTATTTATCAACTTATTTAATGGAATTTGACTCTAAATAGACCCGGATCGGGCCTGAAATTTTTAAAATACCCGGGCCGGACCTAAAAAAGTGTTTTTTTTAAATACCCGGGACTGAGCGGCCGTATATTTTAATATTAGCTATTATTTTAAAAAAATCCGGCCCGGGCCGGGTTGTGCAAATTGTACCTCTGTAGGTCTCTGATATAAATGGTGTAATTTAACAATCAAATATATCACTAAGCTGAAATTATTATTGTCAAATTAAAAAAAATTTTAAATATTTTTTTTGACATAAAAAATTTATAATAATTTTTAGTTTATTTCATCATTATTGTACTATATTTAAATTAATTATAATTTTTACATTTGCATGGCATTTTTTTATGATTAATTCTTCTTTTTTTTTATTTCTACTGGATAATAGAATTTTTTGTATATATTATATATTATTTTATATATTTAAAAGAAAGGTTGGAAGTTATTGACATTCTTATCTGTTTTTATAAAATGATTAGATAATGTAGCAAATTATCAATTATATTCAAAAAAATTGCTGTTTTCGAGTCGTGTGTGGTTTCAGATGCTAGAAAATTTCATTTCCGTACTATGACATGGGAATGTATGTATATAGTATATATATAAAACCAGAGCCTAATTTTGACTAAAATAGGTCCAAAAGCATTCTTTAGCAATTTTTGTTGACTGTACTACCCATTTTAAAGTTATGGTATTATTTACATGTTAGACGACTCGTTCCATAGAGATCTTTTGTGGGGAGAACACAAGGAGGGAAAGGGTGTTATTTTTAACATAAATATCAACAAGTTTTGATATTTAGATAAGAGGATAATTAATTTATATCACGCTAAGTCTAAAACCATTCCTATTAAGAATATTTTATTAATTTAACTTTCCCAAAGGGTTCTTCTCATTAATGAGCAACCTTGTTTAAATTCCAGTTTTTAACCAATAGTAAAAAAAAATTTTCTTCTTATTGAATATATAATATCTAGTTTGAAAGTGCTAAGGATATGTCCCTGTTCGACTTATTAATAAACAGCCTAAAAAGCAAAAGAAATATTTTTTTGAAAATGAATAAATAAAACAACAAAATAAAATGAAACGAAAAAAAACAAAATGAAATGAAATGAAAAAAAAACAAAATAAAACGTAAAAAAACAAAATAAAAAGTAATAAAACAAAAAAAAAATTAAAACGTAAAAAAACAAAAAAAAATTAAAATGACGAGACTTGATGTTTTTGTTCTATAAACTTGATTTTACCCAATATACTTATCGTCTCATGAGTTGCAATTAATGGGGAGGAGGGGGGGAGGAGTGGTTTGAATTTATGAATCTTGAGTATACTTATGATTTACTGAAAATATTGTAAAGGACACTTTTAAATGATAAAAAAAATCTATTATAAATTATTTATCTTTCATCTAAGATACAAAGAATGCGTTTCATAGTGATCATGAAAACATTTAAATCCCCTGAGACAATATTCCCGAAAGCAAAATCTGAGCAAATTCTCGGAAATAGAGATTTAAGGGGCACGCCCCGCAACTTAATGGACTATCGCTAAAATTGGCACGTGGTATACCGGATAAGCTATTGATCTTTTTTTTTACCCTGGTGAATGGCAGCAACAGTTTTATAATTAATATTTTCTAATTATGTCACTGTCATGTCAACCTTGAATCAATTAATACTAAATAATAATTGACCGTGATACTCTGGACATGTTGATTTAGCGACATCAACCTGGAAATAAATTTGGGCGATCCTTTTAAACCCCCAGATTTGCTACCGGTCCGGTCCAAGCGGTCTGGTCCGGTCCAAGCGGTCTGGTCCGGTCCAAGCGGTCCGGTCCCGCCTAAAAAAATTTTTTTTTATAAAGCTACAAAAGTTTTATTCTGCATTTAAATTTATTAAGAATAGTTTATCTACCCTATTAATATTTCAATTATATCATCAATTCATTTTTATTATATTATACACATATGCCTAATCAAAAGAATATTAAAATACAAATTTATTTAATATAAATTATATCAATATGATTATGATTTACATATTTAATTAATTTTTTTGATATATATTTTTGGTTATAAAATAAATTGTATATAAATAATTTAATTATCTTCTAAAAAATCAAAAATGATTCCATTTTTTATCCATGATTCAAGTGCCATCATAGATTGAACCATCTTTGGATTCATTCTATTCGTAACTAAGTTATTTTATCATTAGCTTTAGAAAATATCCTTTCACATGCTACTGATGTAGCCTGCTGGGGGAGATAGTCCATTGCTATTTTTGATAGAACTGGAAATCGATATTGATTCCCTTCCCACCAATCTAGTATATTGGAATTAACAGGACATAAAATATCAGATAAATAACATTGAATTTCAGTTATATCCCCTATCTGAGCTATCTCCTCTAATGACCCAGTTCCCATGAGCCTATCCCTGGCTATTCTCTCTCTCAAGGGTATTTCCTTAAATAATAATTATCAATAAATAAATAAATATTTTTATATACTTTGTTTGTCCTTATGCCACTTGATAAAGTGCTCGCATATTTTTCATATACTTCCTTAAATTGAATAAAATTTTCAGGAGTATTTAATAGATTATACATGTGAACCTAAATAAAAAGAAATTTTGTAATATTATAAAGAATTAGGAATAACTTTTTTGATTCTAGGGTCCTAATGTTTAAAAATTTGTGAATGTAGTGATTAGCTTTCTGAGTGACTTTCGTTGCAAAAGTTGCATCAATAAATGAGGGCGAGGAATTAGAATTAAAAATATTTGCAATATGTATTTGTATATTTCATAAGATATATGCCTAAATAAGAGAAAAACCATTTAAAAATATTAGATAAAAGATATTTAATTAATGGTAGGATAGGAGGATCCAGATAAATCCAAGGTGGTCATAAAATGGTTTTAATAAAGGAATTACTTCCTCTATTTTATTTTTATCATTATTTGTGAGGGCAATGCTGCCAAGGGTTTAATACTCTGAATAACACAAAGTTCTTATTGTCTCAAAATTCTAAATATATAATCCTATTAAAAAAAGAAAAAGATAGATAATTTACTGCAAGGACCTTCACCAACATCAAATATGTTGAATTCCAGCAAGTTGTCCTTTGTCATTACCTCTAAGTAATGACCTATATTTTTGAAGCAATGATGGACTTTGAGATATATTCGTAGTAATCAATCTCACTTTAATGATAACTTCATCAATGTTTTTTAGAATATTTTGGCAAATTATGTTTAATACGTGTGCCATACAGCCATATGCTGCAAATGGGTTTGGACTCATCTAAGTCTTCATGAGTCTCTGAGTTTTCACCATATTAGCAGCATTATCAGTTGTTAAACTGATAATTTTTTCCTTTAAATTATATTCAATAATTAAATCTGAAAGACATTTATATATATTTTCAGCTTTGTGCGAATAAGGCACATAATTAATATCCAATATGATTTCTTCATTTTCCATGATTTATCTATATAGTGCCCACTTACAGATATGTATGGAAGTTTTTGAACAGATGTCCATAAATCTGTAGTGATAGCCAGTTTTCCTGGCAATTTTGCTATCATGGATATAACATTAATTTTTTTATTTAGATAATTGTTTAGAATATTCTTTTAAAAAGTATTATAAGTGTGCACCCTAATATTAGGATTTATATATCCAATCATTTCCAAAAATTTAATATTATTTATAAGGGCATGTAGGGGGATATTAGATGTTATAATAATTTCCGCAATGTATTTATTTTTTGTTTTGAGCAGTTGTAATTCTGCTATTATATATATGATCTGAAAAATTTATTTCTTTCTGAACTAATAATTTTTCTTCTCCCTGTGATACATTTTTATGTTTAAGAAACATATGTCGTCTCAAAGTAGCTAAAATAAGATAAAATTATTCATAACATATGTGAATCATAGTATATAGGGATGGGACCAATACCAATATAATAATGGTTTACAATACCAATACCAATATAAACAATTATAGAATTAAATATTGGTATTGTTTTTACAACCAATACCAATACCAATTACATAAATACATTGGTTTTGATATATTGTTTAAATACAATTTTAACTAATACCTATTAAAAATAGATGAATACATATAATTATTTGGTTTTATCGTGGTATATTTTTTTAATTTCATTACATAAACATAAACTTATTAATCCATTTCATTTAGGATATTATAATGAATGAAGACCAAGTAGAGTTAATAAATATAGATAATGCTGTTGATACTAATAATAATAGCGATAATGAACAAGATGAATCATCAATATCTAATAAAAGATGAAATACAGCAAAAATCTGTTTATACTAGTTGTGATAACAAAAAAGGGCTATTTGCAATAAATGTAAAAAAAAAATCTCTTCCCAATTTTAGAACTTCGGGGTTATGGACGCATCTTAAATCCATCCACCCAAGCCCAACATTATATAGGAAATGTGAACAACAAATAAATAAGCAGTAAAAAAATTAACACAATAAAATCATTTTTAGTTAATAATATAAATAATAAAGCTAATTTAAAACATTTAATTCTATTTTATTCAAAATAACAGCCTTTTCAATGGTTGAGAATATCACTTTTAAAAATTTAATAGCATATTCTAACCCCTCACTAAAATTACTTTCTAGAAAAAGATTAAAAATAGAAGTTATGAAACATTAACATAGTTCTTTTATCAATTTAAAATCTGTACGTTCTAACATTACATCTAAATTTTCCTTAACAATGGACATTTGGTCCTCTCCAAATAAAATACCCTTTATGGGCATAATAATAATTCATTATATTGATAATGAATTTAAATTAAATAATCATCTATTAGATTTTATTCCTTTTAAATCAGCACATAATTCTATTAATATTTATAATTCTGTATTAAAAGTAAAATTTGAAATTGATTTTTTTTGTATTACATTAGACAATGCAAGTAATAATTTAGCATTTCTAAATCCTGTTTTTATGGTAATGCTTCATGATTTTTTTTTTCCATGTTTATTTAAATTTTAAAACTAGAAATTAAGGGTTTAATAATCACTATTTATTTCAATTCATTTAATTAGTTATTTGAATTTAAACCAATACAATATAAACCAATAGCAATACAAGAAATAGAAAATATTGTTTAAACCAATATCAATATTTTAGACGCAATACCAATACAATATTTTGTTTATATTGGGTTTTTAATATTGGTTCCCAGCTAATAGAATATATGCTTAATTTACTTGTGCTTGATGTATTTGAAAATGATTGTAAACAGATTTTACAAATCTTATGACCAGTCTCTATTTTAAAATAATTGTATACTTCTTTAACATCTTTTAAAGAATTTGATGGATTTTTTTGATTTTCATTAATAGTCATTCTTTCACCCCTTGAAGAATGTGGCATTTCAATAGTACTAGTATCAACTTCTATGATTTCAATATCCATTTCTAAAAATAAAATATAATACTACCTACCCTACAAAATTAAAATACTTGAAGGCGATTGAATTTAATTGAATGAAACGGAAGAATATAAAAAGTAAACTATGAATATTGAATTTAATGAAACGGAAGAATATAAAAAGTAAACGATGAATTAGATATTATAAAGTGTTAGGCATTAAATAATCATATTTTATATGTTCTATGTACATACACATTAACTATAAAGCAATTTATAGTAAACTTTTATATTCTTTAATCGGTCTTCGGTCGGACCGGACCGTGGGACCGTGTTGTTGGACGGGACCGTCCCATAGGACCGAAAAGTCTGATAAGACCGGACCGTTGCAAACACTAGTTAAACGGCTGGATTTGAGCCGATTTTTTAAAAACGGGTAACTCAAAATTTTATCCACGAAAATATTGCGCAAGCCCGAAGATTTCGTTTCTATTTGGCCCAAAGGTTTAAACAACTATTAGCGAGATCTAGATGCGTAGACAAATATTTTTTGCTGGTTAAAATATTGAGTTAGCACTTTTACAATACTGAAATTGTACCTTATATTTATCGGTTTAATATACTATATTTAAAATTTATACTATCAAGTTTTCAAATATTATTATTAATATTTTAAGAATATATATATATATATATATATATATCTTTATCTATCTACAATGTATACATTTTTAAATTATCATTAATTTATCACTTAAAATATTAAGTTAAAAAAATATATCCTTTTTTAAAAATAAAATATATCATATTTTTCCCTTGACCCATACTTCGCCTCAGAGTGTTAAAACAAATAAAAGGATATATCAAATTAAAGCAAAAATAAGTAAAATTAACTGTACCTATGTAAATGCATTCAACAAGCTCAACTTCAAAAAACCTTTTAAAGAGCTACCTATTTAAATGCATAATATATGTTCCGAAGTTATATAAAGGCCTGAGTAGAAAGAAAAATATTATTATTTTAAAATAAAGGGTCTCATAAATTTCAAAAAAAAATTATTTATTATATAAAAAATTATTGAATATCTTTAGAAATAATCTATTTATAAAAGAAGATGTATAGCAAAATATTATTCGTTCATATTTGCTTCTTGGCTGTTTTTTACTCTTCATTCGGATCTGAACCTTGGGATAATGAAGATAATTCTTCGGCTGATACTAAGCATAAATATTAAAATTAAATGCATGTCATGTCATGTTAATTAATCTAATAGCACGATATTCAAAACGACATAGTCTTTTTTTTCGAAAAAGAATAATAGTATATTTATATTAGATATCTGCAAATGGGAAATTATTTTAGGTTCGACCTGACCCGGTTGGAATATAATTTTTATCCGCCAGGGCCTTTCCCAAATTTGTAATCAGGCAGATTCTAAATCTTTTTTTAAGGTTGACCGGTCCGATCAGTCCCCAATATACTATGGAAAAATAAATCAATAATGATGAGGATTAGGTTACATGATTTTCTTATTATAGTACTAGCCTTAAAATGTAGGAAAAAATAGAGAAATCAGTAAAAACAGGTCATTTAATCATTTGAAATTATAACCAAAATATAATTTAATATTTTTAAACAAGCTTCAAGAACAATATTTTTTTTCTTTCTATTCTTCTTTAAGCGCGCGTTGCGTGTATCATTTTTATTCCGCCCGGCCCGACCCGTTAATTTTGTTTTGTTCGTCCCATCCCAAACAAAATATTTTTTTTAAGATGTTACACCCGGCCCATTGGGAGATCTCTAATTTATAATATATTTAAACTCCTTTTGATGCGTTTCATTACAGATTATATATATATATATATAAATACAAAATCAAAGCTCCTACCGATATCGACCGTTACAAAAAATTGGTCGAGGTCAAACAAGGGCCTATAGATGTAGTCGCTATCATCGAATCAACTTCTCCGAGCATTCAAGATTATGAATGCATACTTTCTATCTCTTACGTGAATATTCCTATTTACCATCATTTATATATATATATAACCATATTAATTTTCATAATATTAAAATTTATACTTTGAATTTAAGCTAATCTACAATATTTTTAATTAAGATTTCTTATCACTTTTAGAAACCACTTTGATAAACATTTTTTTTTACTTATGGCTACTATTAATTATTTCCAAAAAAAATAAAATAAAATATTAATATTTAAATCAATCATAGGGTACTTACTATCAACTCCAACGTAATAACCCAATAGGACCTAAAGGAGCAGGCTTTGGAGTCGTGACTTATGACACTTGGGCTAAAGTTCACTTGAAATTGAATTCAGCAACTTCTTATCTCGAAGTTTCTAGATATCCCGAACCCATTATTTCAAAAAGTATAATTTTGAAAAAAATTTAAGAGAGAAAAAAAAAATCTAAATTATAAATATTAAAATTTTTATTTCATTCAGAAAAGTGCCTCGATTTAGAAAAAGCATTGAAACTTGCCAAAAAGGAGCTTACAAAGAATGGGAGAGATAAATCTATAAAACAAATATGGGTTAATATATCAGAAAAATCAGGTGGAAATCCGGAGAAAATAGCGCAAACTATCAAAAAATGGGGTATATCCTATATTTCCTTTTTTTCTATTTGTGAATACATTATATGACTAAATTTACATATGCCTAGGTAAACTGCAAATGCTTAGATCTCTAATTAATTGGAGTGAGATTTTATTTTCTGATGATATAAATAACTTATAAAAATTAAATTATTAGGAATGTAAATTAATAGTTGTATTTCCTTTTATCCCAATAATAAATAGTTTTAATCTTTAATAATATTAAATCCACAAGTTTCGCATATTTATTTTAATTGAAAATGTAACTTTAATTATTTACGAGATAAAAGTAAATACAACTATTTAATGTATATTTCCTTTATTATTGAATATATTTGATAATTTAAATCTTTTTATTTATATCATAAGAAAATGAATCTCACTTCAATTTATAGAGTATATATCAAAATATTTTACCTAAGCATTTCCAGTTTAGTCAAACCCTATGAATATAGATCGGAGATTATCAGTTATATATATTTATAAAACAATTTTGTTTTTTGTGAATAAATAAAAATTTTGAAAGGGATCGAAATATTTGTCCTTGCTATCGGCTCGAATATCGACTCTAAGCAAATAGACGCGATAGCCACGGATCATGATCACATATTTTGGTATCCTGATTATTGTACCTCCTCACAATCTCTCATTGAATTCGTCAACAAAAAATTTTTATCTCCATTTTAATTTTTTAAAAAAAGGGTTTATTTTATGCTGTATATTCTAGTTGTTATGTTTTAGAAAAAAATAAATAATATTTCTAATAAAATGGAAACATTAAAAATGTGGTTTAAAATATTATCCATAGATTTACTTATTCATCATAATTTTATGTTATTTATTTTAAAGTTTATAAATTCTCAGGTGTAAGATGACTTTTAAGAGTTGTAAATGAATAAAAAATCGAATATAAATTTTTTTAAACAACGTAAAGTTAGTATATCATTTAAATTATTTTTAATCTCAGCCTATATGCGCAGGCGCGTACCCAGCGGGTATGGGAAGCAGGAGGACAACCCCACTCCCCCTTATAGACAAAAAATTTAGATACCGGCTATAACATTTTTTAAAAATAAATTACTGATTACAACATCTTAGTGCATATATAACACATTTATAGCAGATATAAATACGGTACTAATTTATTCTATTGATCTTGGCGCTATATTTATCTATCATTTTAAAATTTCTCAAATCATTCGAAACTTTTTCATTGAAAAACTAAAGCAAAATTTTTCAAAAAAAATGACATCGATAATGAATAGAGCTGAAAGGCTTATATTGAAACTTAAAAAAATTAAGGAAATGATGACGTCTTAATAAATTATGTCATTGTTGAGGCAAAAGAAGATCTCTATGAATTTAATATTTATCTACCTCGGCTTGCATCTAGGCGAGTCTATCGTTTCAATATTAATAAGAATACCATAGAATTTATCTCTTTATCCGCCTCTTGGATACCTTTATAACTAAAATGAATGAAAGGTTCTTAATTAATCAGGCAGCACATACCAAATCTATTTCAAATGTTGTTAGAGAAAAATTAAATATTTAAAAGATTTTTATTGTGAGGATGTTAAAGTATTCCATGATGCATTACACGCTGAATGCAAATGAAGGAATAAAAGGTTAAATATGGTTAATAATGTTCAAAAAAATGCTACAGCTGCTTAGCATAATTTCATACACATATAGGACTATTTTCCTAAAGTATAAAAATTATCTTATATTTTTTCTTCGATAAAAGAACATTTCCTTCTTTAAGCAGAATATAAAAAAAAACATACCTGAAAAGTAATGTTGTTACATCGAAGGGAGGAGTGAATACTTAAAATATTTGATCGGCAGATCTCGAAAAAAATCCTCTATAGAAGATTTAACCTCTCATTTGAGTTTCCAGTGTCAAATTTTTTTTTCCCGAAGCTTTTTAATAATTGGAATGCCTCGCCCTCACAAATTGCTAAGGGGTTGGGCAACTAAAAAAACGGTAATATAAATTAAATTCATTTTCTTACATATATGTAACACCGCCGACGCCAATTAAGCGGCAGCTATTTCGGTGGGGTCCATAAATTTTTTATTAAAAAAACCCCAACCCGATTGAGATATCGGAGCATAGGTCTAAATATATATACTATACATACATATACTAAATAAATATTATATACGTTAGTTGCTTATTGTATAGGATTAGATATAAAATCTATAGTGTTTCTTTATACATAATTACAGGTATTAGGTTTGTATACAAAAGGAGTTTGAACCCTGGTTTTAAAGGTTTATATCAAACCGATGTTTTAATTTTTTACAAACCAGACCTGGACCGTCATTTTAACTGAACCTAAACTCCCATCTATGTGGGATTCTTCTCTATCTATTTTCATTCAATCGCTAATTGTGCGCTAAAACATTACTTAGTCTACATTTAAAATAACATCGCAACCAAATATTTTTCTTTCTGCACCTCCTAAAACAAAGGTCTATATAACAATAAATAATAATAATTTTATAATTAGATATATTTCGCTAATTTTTTATGCTATAATAATTTATAGCAAAATATATATTCTTTATATTAAAAAATTATAATTATAATTATAAATATAAATATAAATTATTTAAACGTTGGTAAAATATAAATTAAATTATAAAAATCAAATTTTTGGGAAAGTTATAAAGAAGGCCTGGTTTGAAGACAACTGAGCTCGTATGCGAGTGGACAAAATAAACCGCCTAGATACCGGGAGACATGGTGGTAGAATTCGGAGGTTAGAAGTTCTGGCTGAAGGGTTGACAAAGATGAAATTATGACATGGGAAAATTATGAAGAAGGCCTGGTTTGAAGATAACTAAGTTCGTATGCGGGAGGACAAAATAAGCCGCCTCACAGGGAAACGTGGTGTTAGGATTCGGAGGTTAGAAGTTCAAGAAAACTTTGAAGACGAAAAAAAATATATATGCTAAAAATATGATCCCTTTTCTCATTTACAGTCAATAAAAAAAGTTTGACTTTCCTCAGGGACCGGAACCCTGATTTAGAAAAAAAATCTTTTTGATTGGATCTCGAGAAAATATTTTCTTTTAGAATTTTTGTCATACCAATACCCTACCTACACGCTCTTTCCAGCCACACAACTGTATATTATTTAAAAAAAATTGTGAATTTTGTTATAACGAGGATTATTAGTTACTTAATGTATTCTCTCTTAAAACGCCTTCCACCACTATATATCAGGGATGGTGTGAACCCCCATTAACAACAAAAAAGGAGTTCAGATAGTTCTGGTTCAGGGTTAGAAGAGCATAAAGAAATATTGTCTCGACATTGATAAAATACAATTTTTTTTTATTCAATCAATATTATAAACATGATCTTTCTAAGCATAAAATTTAAAAATTAATTAATATTAATAATTTATTCAATCATCGAACAATGATACCTATATGTTCCAAAAATTTCCGTTCAAATCTGACAATATATATCTCGAAGAACATAAATTGCTCATATTTTAAATTTAAGTAGAATAGCTAGAAAAAAAAATGAATTTTTAATTTAACTTTATTAATTGCACGTTTTCGTTCATATATTTTACTTTCTAAAATTGATATAAAAACAAGATGAACAATGTATTCCTATTTATTGCATATTATATCATTTAATATATTCGATTTTTTATAAGATAAATGCGTATTCGTTTACAACTCTTAAATTTGATATATCAGTACACCTGAGAATTTATAAACTTTAAAATAAATAACATAAAATTATAATGAATAAGTAAATCTATGGATAATATTTTAAACCACATTTTTAATGTTTCCATTTTATTAGAAATATATTTTTTCTAAAACATAACAACTGACAGAATATATAGCATAAAATAAATTATATTAAAAAAGATATTAAATAAATATATTTATATATATACTATATAATATAATATTGAAGCATCAATTACACCCTTTTTTTTTTAAATTAAAATGGCGATAAAAATTTATTGTTGACTAGTTCAATGAGAGATTGTGAGGAGGTACAATAGTCAGGATACCAAAATATGTGATCATGATCCGTGGCTATCGCGTCTATTTGCTTAGAGTTGATATTCGAGCCGATAGCAAAGACAAATATTTCGATCCCTTTCAAAATTTTTATTTATTCACAAAAAACAAAATTGTTTTATAAATATATATAGCTGATAATCTCCGATCTATATTCATAGGGTTTGACTAAACTGGAAATGCTTAGGTAAAAATTTTTGATATATACTCTATTAATTGAAGTGAGATTCATTTTCTTATGATATAAATAAAAAGATTTAAATTATTAAATATATTCAATAATAAAGGAAATATACATTAAATAGTTGTATTTACTTTTATCTCGTAAATAATTAGAGTTACATTTTCAATTAAAATAAATATGCGAAACTTGTGGATTTAATATTAATGAAATTTAAAACTTAATTATAATTATATTAAAGGATTTAAACTATTTATTATTGGGATAAAAGGAAATACAACTATTAATCTACATTTCTAATAATTTAATTTTTATAAGTTATTTATATCATCAGAAAATGAAATCTCACTCCAATTAATTAGAGAATTTATCTAAGCATTTGCAGTTTACCTTGACATTTGAACTTTACCTATGCATATGTAAATTTAGAAACCCTAATTTTATATAATGTATTCACAGATAGAAAAGTAAATAGAGGATATACCCCATTTTTTGATAGTTTGCGCTATTTCCTCCGGATTTCCAGCTGATTTTTCTGATATATAAACCCATATTTGTTTTATGGATTTATCTCTCCCATTCTTTGTAAGCTCCTTTTTGGCAAGTTTCAATGCTTTTTCTAAATCAAGGCACTTTTCTGAATGAAATAAAAATTTTAATATTTATAATTTAGATTTTCTTTTTTTCTTTCTTAAATTTTTTTTCAAAATTATACTATGTGAAATAATGGGTTCGGGATATCTAGACACTTCGAGAAAAGAAGTTGCTGAATTCAATTTCAAGTGAACTTTAGCCCAAGTGTCATAAGTCACGACTCCAAAGCCTGCTCCTTTAGGTCCTATTGGGTTATTTTTTTGGAGTTGATAGTAAGAACCCTATGATTGATTTAATAAATATTAATATTTTATTTTTTTTGAAAATAATTAATAGATGCCATAAGTAAAAAAAAATGTTTATCAAAGTGGTTTCTAAAAGTGATAAGAAATCTTAATTAAAAATATTGTAGATTAGCCTAAATTCAAAGTATAAATTTGGAATATTATGAAAATTAAAATGGTTATATATATATTATATATAAATGATGTTAAATAGGAATATTCACGTAAGAGATAGAAAGTGAGCATTCATAATCTCGAATCTTCTCAGAAGTTGATTCGATGACAGCGACTACATCTATAGGCCATTGTTTGACCTCGACCAATTTTTTGTAACGGTCGATATCGGTAGGAGCTTTGATTTTGTATTTATATATATATAATCTGTAATGAAACGTTTCAAAAGGAGTTTAAACTATATTATAAATTAGAGATCTCCCCATGGGCCGGGTGTAACATCTTAAAAAAAAATATTTTGTTTGGGATGGGACGATCAAAACAAAATTAACGGGTCGGGCTGGGCGGAAATGATACACGCAACGCGCGCTTAAAGAAGAATAGAAAGGAAAAAAATATTGTTCTTGAAGCTTTTTTAAAAATATTATATTATATTTTGGTTATAATTTCAAATGATTAAATGACCTGTTTTTACCAACAGTGCTAGTACTATAATAAGAAAATCATGAAACCTAATCCTCATCATTAATGATTTATTTTTCCATAGTATATTGGGGACTGATCGGACAGGACAACCTTAAAAAAAGATTTGGAATCTGGCTGATTACAAATTTGGGAAAGGCCCTGGCGGACAATAATTATATTCCAACCGGGTCAGGTCGAACCTAAAATAAATTGCCATTTGCAGACATCTAATATAAATATTATTTATTTTCGAAAAAAACAGACTATGTCGTTTTGAATATCGTGCTATTAGAATAAATAACATGACATGACATGCATTTAATTTTAATATTTACGCTTAGTATCAGCGGAAGAATTATCATCATCATCCCAAGGTTCAGATCCGAATGAGGAGTAAAAAACAGCCAAGAAGCAAATGTGAACGAATAATATTTTGCTATACATCTTCTTTTATAAATAGATTATTCTAAATATACTCAATAATTTTTTATATAAAGATAAATTTTTTTTTGAAATTTATGAGATTTATTTTAAAATAATAATATTTTTCTTTCTACTCAGACCTTTATATAACTTCCCGAGGAACATAAATTATGCATAAATAAATAAAGGTTGCTCTTTAAAAGGTTTTTTGAAGTTTAGCTTGTTGAATGCATTTACGTAGGTACAGTTAATTTTACTTATTTATGCTTTAATTTGATATATCCTTTTATTTGTTTTTACACTCTGAGGCGAAGAATGGGTCAAGGGAAATATATGTCATATCTATTTTTTTTTAAAAAAGGAAAAATTTTTTAAACTTAATATTTTAAGTGATAAATTAATGATAAATTTAAATATGTATACATTGTTAGGTAGATGAAGATATATATATATTCTTAGAATATTAATAATAATATTTGAAAACTTGATAGTATAAAGTTTAAATATAGTATATTAAACCGAGAAATATAAGGTACAATTTCAGTGTTATAAAAGTGCTAACTCAATATTTTAACCAGCAAAAAATATTTGTCTACCCATCTAGATCTCGCTAATAGATGTTTAAACATTTGGGCCACATAGGAACGAAATCTTCGGCCTTGCGCAATATTTTCGTGGATAAAATATTGAGTCACCCGTTTTTTAAAAATCTCAAATCCAGCCTTTTAACGACACTAAATTATCAACATTAATTCACGCTTTTTATTTTAGCGTTTGATTTTGAAAAATAATAAATAAAAATTTCTTTTAAGCCTTTATGATCTGATATAGATATATTTTATTAGATATTCTTTTTTAAAAAAAATCTGTTGTATAGATATTAATTAAAAATATATTTAACCTTTAAATTTCTGATTTACAAAAATTTCCATCTAAAGTCTACATAACCTAAATAATTATTTACATAGGCGCAGTCATGATTTTCCTGGGGATGATTTTTTTGCCACAATATTTTATTGTAGCCCCTTTGGCTCTGTTATACTTTTATCAAAAATAATTTTCTTTTAAAAATAAAAAATTTTTTTTTTTCAAAATATTTTCAATTAAAGCATCGAAATGTTAACTTTCACTTAGTTTTCTTTCAAATTCTTTTTTTTATAGTAATAATGTATTGTATACATTTTTTTTAGGGGGAGAAGTGGGTGGGGGTGTATTGTTGAGAAAGTATCGTGAAATGATATTTATGAGGATAGACAAATTTCTGAAGAAGGATGGATTTCAATAAATCTTATCTACAATTCTTATCTCATATATTACAGTGCGTAAACGGGGAAACTAATTATGCTAGCTATTAATAATTTCTTACAAATTATTTATATTTCACTGTATAAATTTTTAAGAAATACCATTTAAAAAATGAATCTAAGTTTGTTATTTCATGATTTTATATAAAGGTTAGCAAATCTGGGGGTTTAAAAGGATCGCCCAAATTCATTTCCAGGTTGAAGTCGCTAAATCAACATGTCCAGGGTATCACGGTCAATTATTATTTAGTATTAATTGATTCAAGGTTGACATGAGACATAATTAGAAGACTTAATTTATTTCAAAAGAATATATTAATTATAAAACTGATGCTGCCATTCACCAGGGTAAAAAAAGAAGATCAGTAGCTTATCCGGTATATCACGTGCCAATTTTTGCGATAATCCATTAAGTTACGAGGCGTGCCCCTTAAATCTCTATTTCCGAGAATTTGCTCAGATTTTGCTTTCGGGCATATTGTCTCAGGGGATTTAAATGTTTTCATGATCACTATGAAACACATTCTTTGTATCTTAGATAAAAGATAAATAATTTATTGAATAGATTTTTTTTATCATTTAAGTATCCTTTATAATATTTTCAGTAAATCATAAGTATACTCAAGATTCATAAATTCAAACCCAAACCCCCCACTCCTCCCCATTAATTAAAGCCTAGGCAACTCATGAGACGATAAGTATATTGGGTAAAATCAAGTTTATAAAACAAAAACATCAAGTCTCGTTTTATTAACTGTGTTTTTTTTAGTATTTTTACGTTTTATTTTGTTTTTTTCGTTTCATTTTGTTTTGTTGTTTTTATCGTTTCATAAAAATATTTCTTTTGCTTTTTAGGCTGTTTATTAATAAGTCGAACAGGGACATATCCTTAGCACTTTCAAACTAGATATTATAGATTCAATAAGAAGAAAAAAAATTATTAATATTTGTTAAAAACTGGAATTTAAACAAGGTTGCTTATTATTGAGAAGAACCCTTTGGGAAAGTGAAATTAATAAAATATTCTTAATAGAAATGGTTCCAGACCCAGCACTGATATAAATTGATTATTCTCTTATCTAAATACCAAAATTTGTTGATAATTATGTTAAAGAAAACACCCCCTCCCTCCTTGTGTTCTTCCCACAAAAGATCTCTATGGAACGAGTCGACTAACATGTAAATAATACCATAACTTTAAAATGGGTAGTACAGTCAACAAAAATTGCTAAAGAAGGCTTTTGGACCTATTTTAGTCAAAATTAGGCTCTGGCTTTATGTATATGCTAGATACATACATATCCATGTCATAGTATGGAAATGAAATTTTATAGTATCGGAAACCACACACGCTACTCGAAAACAGCAATTTTTTTGAATATAATTGATAATTTGCCACATTATCTAATCATTTTATAAAAACAGATAAGAATGTCTATAACTTCCAACCTTTCTTTTAAATATATAAAATAATATATAATATACAAAAAATTCTATTATCCCGTAGAAATGAAAATAAGAAGAATTAATCATTAAAAAAAATGCCATGCAAATGAAAAAATTATTATTAATTTTATAGTACAATAATATGGCAATAAAAGAAAAATTATCATAAATTTTTATGTCAAAAAAAAATTTTTTAAATTTTTTTTATTTTGGCGATAGCGATAGTTCAGCTTAAAGATATTTTTAATCGTTAAATAAAAACACTATTTATTTCAGAGACCTACAGAGGTACAATTTGCACAACCCGGCCCGGGCTGGACTTTTTTGAAATAATAGCTAATAATGGCGATTTAAAATATACGGCCCGCCAGTCCCGGGTATTTATTAAAAAAACTTTTTTAGGCCCGGCCCGGTATTTTAAAAATTTCAGACACTATTCGGGTATATTTATAAAAAATTAAAATAGGGCTAGGCCCTTGTGCCCGGATCGGGTTTAGGGTTGTGCCTGCAGCAGGTCTTTGATTTATAACAAGATATAAACATATTTTCCTATTATAAATCATTTATTTATAATTAAGCATTGGTCAAAGTCATTTTATTAAATATTTATTCATTAGAATACACTTTTTTATAATTTATTAAATAATATACAACCCCATCATCATTATAACATTTTATTTGTGAATAAATTGTATATCAATATAACTAAATATTTTTATTTGAAAATCTCGTCAAATCAATAAAAAATTACAATAAGTGAAAGAAACAAGATTCAGATGGTAACCAAAGACATGCTGAATGAAAGTAATAGTTAATAACATGAAAGTACTAGGTTAGACCAGTGATGATACCCAGAATCGCGGAAAAGAGAGAAAAAAGATTTGAAAAATAAATGACCTTACCCTGGGAAATCCTGGAAAATGGTATTCACTCAAATAACGAAGAAGATTGCAAGAAATAAAATTCCCAAAAGAATATTCACTTATTACGATTATACATTATTTTTTGAATTCTTGATCTAAATTGGCATTTAATTTTTTTTTCAATAATTTTTATATATGATAGTGCAGTCTCGATCTTTTTATTAAATGGCTTTTTAGGTAAAAGTTTCATCCAAAAATAAAATAAAAGTATAAAGTCTGTTTCCGCCAAAAATTCATCATTTAGATCTAAGTAATAATTAATGTATTCTCTAAAGATATTCATTTATATTTGGAAACGGCTGTAATTAATAAAAAAAAATTGAGTGTCAAAAACACCATTCAACCCTGTAACAAAATTGTCCATTTGACATTTGAAACTTTTTATTTTATTTTACTTTATTTTATTTTATTTTATTTTATTTTAATTTAATTTAATATTTATAATATTAATTTTATAAAGGTTAAAATAATATTTTAGATTATATTTTGAAATATTTAATTATCTTAAAAATTACATAACTCTTAATGAGTAATAATAATATTACTATATGTACTATCCTGAGATTTACTAGAATTAAATTAAAAAATATATATTTCTGAAAGTCATCAAATTTTATATTTAAATTATTGTCGGAAAAAAAAAAGATTATTAAAATTTAAACATGCTAAATAAATAATTATAAGTTATAAAATAGCAAAATCTTTAGAATTCTTTTTTTAAACATTTTAATTTAATTTTGTCAAAATGTTCAGTATGTGCAAAATACTTATCTATGAATATCAGATAATTTGTTAATCAACTTTTGAATGATTTTTTAATTTGTATATTAGAAATACATACATGAATCAAATGAGATTTTAATCAAGTCAATATGCGTATTGACTGATTATGCCAATTGACCTTAATATATAAAATTATATATATATCAAACCAGCTTTTCTTGTTTTCGTAAAGTAACAATTTTGTAAATAGCTAATAACAAAACTATCTAAGCTAAGTTTATTAATCCCTCCCTCATTAAGAAAATATTATAAGTTATGGTATAAGTCTTGGCCGTTTATATTATAGAGTTCTTAATATGGTCCTTTAAAGCAAGCGATACAAAATTATTGTTTTTCTTATAAAATCTCTTTAAACCATATATTAGATGGATTATAAAAATCGGAGAATTATCCTTTGATAAAGAATTTCGACTTTTAAAAAAAACCCCTACCAAACAAATAGCCAATTCAGGCTTTACTTTCTGGGCTAGGAAATTTCGCACAAATAAATTTCGGTAGTATATTTTAATTTGAAAGAATTTTATTGGCGCATTAAGATTCGAAAGGTTTAACAAAAGCACCCCGAAGGAAAAAATATTTATTTTTACTAAAAAAGAAAATATTTATCATTATGAAGGTCATCATTTTTTGGCCTTTGAATTTGGACCTTATCGATCAAAGCAAAAACAATTATTTCAAAAATAAATTGTTTTAAATTTTTTAATTTATTACCTTAATATTTTTTATTTTATTTTAGTCACAATATTTTTTTTGTTCCTTTTTGTTAGTTATATTTTATTTTATTTTTTAATAAAAAATAAATGTAATACAGCCAAGGTTTTACCAATAAGATTAATATATCTTCTTTTCAAAGTTACAAAAATTTTTTTTTTAAAAAAAAACAAACTTAAACTAATAGTACCCTATATTATATGAAAATAAATAAATTTTGCAACGAGACGTGATTCGTTGGTCATTTAGCTGATGATAACCGGTGCGCCAAAACCCTTCAAGCGGGGAGTGGGGTAAATCTTAAAGATCTGAATTGTGTTCACGTAAAAACTCAGTTTAGCTGTATTTTTCTGGGTAAAAAAAACCTAGGACAATTCTACAGCTCTGAAGCTGTGTGCTGGTTCAACTTTTTTTGATTCTTATTTCTTTAGCCTCGGCTAAACAGCTTTTAAACTAGAACACCCTGTTGTCCCTTTTTGTTTTCTTTTTTTGTTTTCTTACTTTTTATGCTATTTCGTCGAAACTTAGCTTGTTTAGTAATAAACTGAACTAGGACAGGACTGTGAAGGCTTTTAAGAATTGTATAATAATAATACGAGATAAGGTTTAACCTTTAAGTGATCAATGGGGGGGGGGGAAAAAATTAACGTGAAGGTTGGGTTGGGCATAGCTCACCTCCTGGTTTGAAAATTCTTATATCTCACTCAAATTTTTACATTAAACTTTGATATTTTAGACATTTGCTAAATTCAGAAAAATTATAAATATGAAAATAAGAAATGTTGGTATATAAAGATGGTAAAAAATGAAGCTGAATTGCTTTTAATTTTACTATTTCATAATTTGATTAGAAAAAATAATATAATTAAATGTTTTATTAAATTAATAAGTAAATAAACTTGTTTTTATAATTATTATGTAATTTTTGCCGAAGTGGCCTAGTGGGTTATGATGTATGCTTGGGAAAACTCTAATGATTGAAGATGGGTATAAATTGTTCTATATTGGAATTGTTAGTAATAGGAACGGTGTCGGCATCATCCTCAGTTAAGTTCTAACTTCCTCAGTCGTAGAAGTTAATAGGATCTCTTATAGACTAATGAAAATTAAACTCTGCATTGGTCAATCAATACTACACATTATTTCAATATATGCTACTCAAGTGGGTTGCAAGGAAAAGGAAAAAGATGACCTTAGACCTATCCTTGATGAAGCTATAATGAAAATCCCTAAGGATTGCCTGATCATAATAGGTGGAGACTTAAATGCGCACATGAAAAAGCAAGAGACAAAAAGACATCATGGTGGTTTTGGATATGGAGAAAGAAATGATGAAGGAAAGCATGTATTGAAATGTGCGCAAGCCTTCCTTGTTTTAACCTATACTATAAGAAAAAGGACAGTCATTTAATAACAAATGAAAGTGGGTACAAGGAATTAGAAAAAGTCAATTCGAAAACTTTCAAAACTTTATAAAAACAACATGTGACATGGGAAACCGGGTCGTGAACACAAGGGAACGTTAGTTCCTTCCTTTTTGTTTATTCTTCTATCCTCCCAGCTGAAAAATAAAGTCAATTAATTTTTGTAAATATCTATAATAGTTACACGTTACATTATTTACTGACGCATCATTGTCTTAATGTGCAAGATACAATTCATAGGTTTTACCTCTCATTAGTTTACCATTTTCATATTTTACATATCCCACAAACAAAATAAATAATGTCACATATTTGTAACATTTGTGCAAAATAAATCAAAGTGACAAAGGCCAACCTTTTATACAAACATAGTTACAAAGTGGTAACGTATCCTTCCTCTCAAAAACTTCCAATCAATGAAATTATAAGGATATTCAAATCTTTATTAAATATTACAGAGCCCCATCCTTCTCATCTTAACACTTATTTGCTTGAAAGATTTTTTGAATGGAAAAAAGGGCCCATCTTGATACATCTACCCAATAATCTAGAAACCTAATTTCAAATTTTGTTACAAAACTTATCATTAAAGTTAATGATAACTCTAATTGCTTAAAATCATGGGAAGACTTACTAACCATCTCTTACAAATGTCTTATACGTCCCGCTAACAAAGAGATTTCAATACATAAACAAATAAAATCACACATAGATAATTTTGACACTCTCCAAGTGATGATTTACTACACCCACAACAGTAGATGATATAACACACAAATGCAAAATAATATCAAATAGATCAAGGTGACATAGGTAGAAACTTTACTGTTGAAACAACTACATCCCAAGGCTACCACATATAATTTTCCATCTAATTCACCAGATTATAAATTTTACCAGTGAAGAAATGGTCAACGCTATTAATTTTTCAAAAGAAAAACTCAGCATGTGGTGTTGATGGTAAACCCTCCTATTTTAAATACTATTAATTTAAAAAACTTACCAGTGTCATCAAGTTTTAACAACTTTTTTAAATAACATATTAAAAAACATCCTGATACAAACTCACCAAATCCTTTTTTGTAGCACGTCTAATCGCTTTATCCAAGCCATTTGGTGGTACCCCTCTCATTGCAGTAGGCTCTTTTCAGAAGATTAATAACCAAAATAAGCGAACGTATAAAACATGATGCTGTCAACATTTTAAACTCTTTTCAACTAGGTTTCGGGATTATGGGCGGATGCGAAATTGCGGCTTATACTTTAAGAATATACATTAAAAACCCACCACCAGACTCATATTATGTAAACTAGATTTCAAAAACATCTTTAATAGCCTTTATCGTACCCCTTTTTTTAAATTTTACTATGAAACTTTCCACTGTTACTCTAAAGTTTTTAAGTCATTATGTGGCATTCAGATGCCTTTGACATATTGACTTTTTAGATTCTGTCCCAAGTAGGCACACAACCAGGGGATCCATTGGGATCTTTTATTTTTTGCTTTGGAATAATTAATCTCATTTACAAAATTAAACAAAATTTTAATCTAGATCTTAATCCGTGGTAAGGTACTTAGCGCTTTAAAATACTTGGAAACCAATTCCCAATCTACCGACCTCACAGTTAATAAATTAAACTAAATTATGTTCTTTAAACAATAAGCCACCAAATTTAACAGGCTATAAAATCATTGCTCCCAATAGTTTAAAACTAGGGTCCCCATTAGCTAATGCTACCAAGTCAGCAGATTTCCTTCATAACATAAAAAATTTTACAGCATGGAACACATTCTTTGTCATTTATCGGCACACCAAAATTTATCTTATACGCAAATGCCTATAATATATATACCAAGATTTTTGCACATTTTCCGATCACTATCTTTTCTAAAAAACAACCATTTCATATCAAAAATCAGTATAGCATGATTGTAACAAAAAAAATTTCAGATTTAAATTTTCTGAAAAGGTATAATTTTTATAAAAAAATATTTTAACCATTTCAAATAGCTTATATTTTTAGGACTTTCAAGAAGATGTATTATTTATTCAGATTAAGTGTTATATTATAGAAGGTTTGAACGAAAAATGTCCCAACCATTCCTATAGCCTTTTTTAATTGAAAATAAACAGTTAGTGACTAAATCTCTTTTAAATTTAGTAAAATTTTCATAGCTTTATCATAAGTTATCCTAAAGTTCGGAGACTTTTAAAAGTTTTGAAACAAGTTGTTAGAACACAACTTTGGTATAAGATATAAAATTTTGCGATACAAATATATTTATAAAAATGGATTTGAATATTCAATGAGTGAATAAGCAATATTATGAAATAATAAATGTATATAAATAAAAAAAAATTAATATTTTATGATAGGTTATCAAGCGAACAAAAATATTATAACATTATATAAAATGTTAAATTATAAATTGATGATAAATATACAACTTTCTATTGACACCATTAACGAATACATATGATAAAATGATTATTAAGGTTTGAACAAATGATTAGCAGCGCAGTAATTAGTAAAATAAAATATATTTCCACTTGATGATGCCATTGATAAAGCCTGATTATAATCTGCATTTGAAGACGCAAATACAAATATCTCTGTACCTGTTTAAAAATAATATAAGATACAATTCTTTAAGTAAAAGAAAATCTGATTTTATCAAAAATATATTTTGGTATAAGAAGTGTTGTTAAACGGCTCGATTTGAGTTGATTTTTCCACGGATAACTCAATATTTTACCTAGAATAATATTACTAATGCCTGAAGAATTTGCCTCCCAGATGGCACAACGATCTAGACATCAATTAGCGAGATCTAGAAGCTTAGGCAATGTTCTGGCTAAAATATTGAATTAGCTGTTTTTAAAAACCGGCTCAAAACGAGTCATTTAACAACACTAGGTATAAGTATAGTATACCTCCCCTTCATGATTACAAACTAATATAGATTTTTTGTACAAATTTTAAAAAAATACATAAAATTTTGTAAGGAAATTTTTTGGGAGAATGTTGGAATGCCTCTGGTAATATGAGATTTTTAATTTTTAAAAATCTACTTGATTTGAGATTTTTGATTCCTCATATTTGGGATTTGGAAAAATTGTTATTTCAGAAAACTTATGATATAAAAAAAAATTTAATTATAGAGATAATATATATATATATTATCCCTCCATATGTATAAATATATACACTACCGGCCATATTTGGGTAAAAGCGAATTGATTAATTAATTTAATATGTCTAGACATGTTTAAACTCGGAATTTCTATAAATCTTTCTATGAAATTTTAGCCTTCGTAAACAACATGTCACAAATGAACAATTTGGTAAAATAGGGTTCTTAGTTTTTTTCAGCAACAATTTTAAGTTACCCATTGTTTTTTGGTAGTAATTAATACCTATTTAAAAAAAAATTCCTAGATTTTTTTGTTTTACAAATCATTGTTTAAAGAATTTCAGTCTTTATAAAAGAAAATAAATTTCTATTACAACTAAATGCAAAATAATTAATTTACATATAAGTAGTAAAAGTAATCGCCGAATTGCTAGAGAATTAACTCTAGCTCGACGAACAGTCAATTGTAAACTAAAAAGATTACGCAACAATAATACAATATCGAATCCAAAGAGGCCTGGAAGACCTCGCAAAGCGACTTTAAGCGATAATAGGTATATAGCAAGGATCAGTAAACGCAATCGACGCCTTGTCGCCTCAGAGATAGCTGCGGAGATTAATCTGACTCAGGAAACCCCGATAAGTGTCACAACTGTGAAAAGATGCTTTGAAAGCTTTGAACTTTATGGTAGGGTAGAGGTCAAAAACCCACTCTTGAGCAAAAAAATAAACTCAAGCGATTAAACTGGGCACGAATACATCAATTTTGGACATCAGCCAAATGGTACCACGTCTTATGAAGTGATGAGTCAAAATTCGAAATCTTCTATTCTAAAAGAAGGCAATATATTCGCCGCTCAGCTGGAAAGCGAATGAACGATCACTCCATAATTCCTACAGTCATATTCGGGGAGGGTCTGTTATGGTGTGGGGGTGCTTTGTTGCGGGGGCAACCGACGACATTGTCAAAATTAAAGGAATTCTTAACAAGGAGGGAAACCGGCAAATTCTTGAGGACCATGTGATTTCATCAGGATAGTGTTTAGGGAGTAACTTTTTATTTCAACAAGATAATGACCCATATCATATATCCAGGCTATGTAAAGATTATTTACAAAATCTACAACAACACGGTATTCTCGAGTTAATGACTTAGGCATCCCAGTCTCCCGATCTCAATCCAATAGAACTTTTTCGAAAGCGGGAAAAAGCCCTCTAACATCTCATTCGCACCTTAATTTCACTTCCGAATATTTAACAAATTTCATCGAAAGATTACCAAAAATTTGTGCTAGCAATTATTAAGAATAAAGGTGGTCATATTGATGATACCAAAATTTGATCTTTATTAATTCTATGTCTTTTATTTTTTGTAATTTTATGCAAGAATATGTAAACTTATAAATAAATTTGATAAACCATATTGTGTGTTATTTGTCTTATTTTAACAAAAATGTTAAGAAAATGCAGGGTGGGCACTCATTTATGGCCGGTAGTGTATGTAATTTTTAGCCTAATATACTAATTTATTATTAAATATATTTAAAAGAAAGATCAGTATATATCTATTTAATAATTTGAATGATATATAATTTGATATTATTCTAGTAGGTTATTTACAGAATATATTGTTTAGCCAATAGCTAAGTGGAAGGCTTATTTTGTATATTTAAAAAAAAAATAACATTCGATTAAATTTATCCTATTTTATATTATGAAGGCAATTTGTTCAACTTGCTTTATGACTGTAGCCATGCAATATTGTTATTTTTCTAATAAAATTTTAGTTATTGGTACAAATCCTTTAATATAATCATGAGGGTTATTCCTTAGTGTTTACAATTCTAACTATTTTTAGAGAACCTAAAGGAGCCCATGTGTCACTAGAAGGTTCTTAGGCCTAGCTTAAACAAAATTATACCATCTCCTATGTTGTCTAAGAAATTTACTTTTAAAAATATCGATATTTTACCAGATGAATACAAAGTTAAACTCATAAGCCAAAAAATTGAACTTGTAAGGCCTATTTTCATTTGATTTACATATATTAGAATACTTTGGTCCCAAATTTAAAAAATTTTTTAAATCAATAGGTCAATGACTAAAAATGATGTCAATTGACCCTAACTCTACTTTGTTTAAAACAACTAGTAATCACCTGGATATAGTTACATATGTTTTTGATCCTTTACCTATTTAAAATCTATAGCGCATATTTTAAAACAAATTCGTAATTATTATTATATTTTATAAATTAAGGTTATACTACTACCTTTATTTAAAAATGTGTGCAGTTTTTCCATAAATATATAATGGGATATAAAACTTATTTAATTATTGGCTTATTAAGAAATGGAAAAGTTCCTAATCAGAAATAAAAGGAACCTACCAAAAGAGGAAAAGTTTCGATAAAAATACCATTTATGACTTTTTTTATTTATTTCTTTCTTTCTTTTTGCCACTTTTCAATTTTATGTCATTTTAAACTTTTTTTTCGGTAATCTTTTATCTTATAATTTTTTTTTTCTCTTTATTTTGATTATTTTTTTTTATTTCTCTTTTTAGCCCTATAGTAAATTCTTTGATTTTTTTTTAAAAAAATATATGTATATAATTTTTAATCATTTTTTTTTTACAATTTTTAACCTTTATACAATTTGATATTTGTTTTGCCCTGCAAAGAAAGCTTTATAAATAAAATATATTTTAGTGTCTCTATCAGGCTTAATTTTTCAAGCCCGGACCGAAATTTTTTTAAAAAAGGTTTACCAACCCGCCAGGCCCGAATTTATTTAAATGGAGAAATTAATTTTTATAATTACTCAAAATTAAAGACATATGTTATATGTCGTTTAGTTTCAATAAATAAAAACAAATATTTTTATTTTACATAAAAAATTCAAAATAAAATTGATAAAACTTTGCAGATCTCTTATATATTTACTTTAGAAAAGAATGATATGAATACTTCATTGAATAATATTCCACTTTACCGTAATAGTTTAAAAAGAAAAGTGATCGGCAGGCGCATAACCAGGAAAGAATTCGGGAGATCCCCGGGCTTCCTTTGGAAATTTGCCAATGCAAATATCATTTTAATTTAATAAAATCTACTAACCTCCCCCCCCCCTTCTTCTCCTACTACATCCTCTCAAAAATTTATAAAAATATCGTTAAATCACTATAATTAATAATATTTTTTATAAAAAAATAAAAATGTTAGTAATTTTTTCTTAAAATAACTACTATAATTTAAAATGTTTTAGATAGAATATATTTTTATTATAAATGACAGGAAATGAATACTAAAATAATTTATATAAAAATATTTATAGCTCCATAACCCGCATTTCAAATCAATTGAAAATGTGTTATATCCAAGAACCCTGAAATAATGCATTTTTGCGTTCCCGTTTCCATCAAAAAAAAAAATTGTTTTATTTCGGCTTCGTTCCAGCTTTCGGAATGTTCCTATTTTTTTAAAAAATCTACACTAAAATTTTTATTTACTCGTTAAAATGAAATCAATTTTTACATCGAAGGAATAATATATTTTCAAAAAAGATTATCATTTATATTGGTTCTTTGTGGTGTTAGAAGTATAAATTTAGTGTCGAAAAACAACACCTAGATAAATAAAAATATCCATTTAAAATTTTATGCAATAAAAAAAATATTAATTTTAATGATTTTAAACCCCTGGACTTCGAGTGTATTTGAATTTAAAAAGCATATTTCAGATTTAGCTTTATTTAGAGTAGGGATATGTTTAGAGAAATATTTTTAGAAGGTCCGCAGATGGTACCATCATAGATACCATATGTTTAAATTTAAGTTTAAAAAAAAGGTTTTTAGGGAATGAACTAGGTTACGTATACCAAGATGAGTGGCAAAGGGTCTCGACAAGGTAAGAGCCCTTACATCAGAACCTAAAGAATATTATTTTTTTAAATCAAAATCTACTAAACACTATTTTAAAATATAATTATTCTTGTTTTTTTGGGAACTTGTAGTCTCACCTCCGTTTTTATAGAATAAGGTTTTATTTTATATTTGATATGATAATTTTCATATAATTTTATTTGATAGATTATAATAAAAAAGTATAGTATTAATATAGAAAATAAAAAGAAATTAATGCAACATTTAGATTTATATTTTCTTTTTTATATTTTTAGTAATGGTGTTAAATGGCACGATTTGAGTCGATTTTTAAAAACGGCTAATTAAATATTTTTTAAAATATATTGCCTAAAGTTCGAGTTTTCGTTAATTGATTTCCAAAATTTTGTGCTATTTATGAGCAAAATATTCAGTCTTGCGTAATATTTTTTTTGGATAAATTGTTGAGTTAGCCGTTTCTAAAAATCCGTCTCAAATAGAGTCATTTACTAATTTTTAGGAACGTTCAGGGACCGTTCTGTCCGGTTCCGTTTACATCCCATAAATTTACTCAAAGTTACATTTGGAACATTTTGTTCCATGTCATTGGTTATTTATAGAGTATGAAAAAAGCGAGCTGAGAATTCATTATTTTAGAAATAGGAAACCTGTATTCCTATAAGTGAAGTTATTGAATCTAATTGTTAATGATGTATATTAGTTATAGAAAGGTAAAGTTTTTATGGAATTGTAAAACTATTAATTAGAATAATAATTAGGTTAATATATTATTTTGAAATAACTTGATTCTTGATCTTATTATATATTAATTAAATTTTTTGAGTGATAACAATTTCCCCTTTCCATTTTAAACTTAGAATTTAACAGTTGTTAAGCTATCCATGTACTATGGACTAGTTAGAAACAATGTTGGACAAAAGAAGTATTTAGGAGTTTACTTAGCAAAAAATTGGGATATATCAGTAATATCTTCGAACCGGGCGTCATAGGTCACAAAAGAAATAAAAACTAGAACTAATCGATAATCATATATCTAGCTTTCCTGTATTTATAGTTCAGAATGGAGTTAAACATTTGGTAAGAGTTTATATGCTAACACAAGTCGTAGTTTAGGGCGTAATAAGGGATAGAGTGTTGAAGACATTAGTTATACAAAAGAAAGGTTTTTATGTAATTTATCTGAGATTTTATTAATTGATAAAATTTATTATCTAACCCCCAAGACTACAGAAAGGAAGGAGTCCGATTCTAAGGGCAGACATTAGTCTAGTTTGTTTGTATTCTAAAGTAAAGTTCTTTCATCACAGAGCTATTTATTTTATAATGTCAAATAAATTAGGTTTGGCTAATGGCTAACTATCCAAATATCCTAGAATCGATTCACTTATCCTTGTCTGATGGGGAAAGACCAGGTGGCCCTACAAATGTTCTTTGGTTTAGAGGAAAACTTCTTATTTGATTTGTGGCTCCCAGATTCGCTCATTGGCCCGATTATAACAGCCGAAAGGTCAAAATTTTATAAAAGAACCTTTCATATTTATCTTTCATCACTATATTTATTTCAATGGGGTGACTCCCTAGGATATTTTTATGTTTAAAATTTTAGGTAAAAATAAAAATTTCTTTTCCCAAATTTATGGGGATAGTGAATCTAATTTCTTCGATTTCTTTTTAAAAATTCTATTTTTCCCCACATCTTGCATGTTTTTTATATATGATTTTTAATTATAATATAATTTTTATAGTATGTTATGTTTTAAATATTTTACAAGTTTTAATTAAAAGAAAAGATAAGAAATTACATAAAAATGAAAAATGAGTTTGAAAGAATAATAAAAAAAAATTGATAGTAAAAGATAAATTTAAGAAAAATAAATTTCAAGATTTTAAAATATTTACTAAAAATATTGCGATTTTCATTTTTGAATTAGAATGTTTCTTTTGATCGACACTTTCCTTTTTAATTGACACTTCCATATTTGATTTACTCTCCCCCTCCCCTTCTTTTTTATCTTATTTTGTTTATTAGCTTTTTACTTTTGGTAATTTTTTTTTTAGATTCTATTAAACTTTTCCCCATTTCTTAGATTCTTTTTTCCATTTTTGTTTGGAAGTTTTTTACTTTTTTCATATATGTATGTACCTTTTCTTTTTTTGTGAATAGAAAATCCTGTATATTGATCAAAATTGAATAAATTTACCTTTTGATTTCATGAGAGTAGCTATTGGAGCTGGATCTACACTGGACACTTTAGAAATAAAGACAATTGCTACTTTCTTAGCATTTCTGCCCGCGTTATTTAACATGTTATTTCCAAGTGTTAAAGCAGTGGCGATATCAACAGTGCGAGCTAGATAAAATAAAAAAATATAGATTTTTTTTTAAAGAACATACCTAAATGCTGCGAATCCGCAAAATAGGGTTCAAAACTAGATCAAAATCGCGAACCCGCATAAGTTCAAGGTGAAACTGAATCCAATATCGATTAGATTCGGGTTCATATAAAAGTAACGGTTTATATCAGTCGGAACCTCTAAAAACTGGGTTGAACTCTTTATATGCTTTTATTAGAATTATATATAGAAAAGCACATTATTTTTTTAAATTCACCAACAAAAATACATATATTAAAGCGTTTATATTATTATTAATTGCACATTATAAATAATAACTAGTTTATAAATTATAACAAATAAACATCATTTATTAACAGTAGAGTTTTTAAGTGGTGTGCTACAGCGTGCTAACTATAGCGGCTACTTTTTTTGTAATTATTTAATTTTTTTAGCCCGCTACCTTTTTTGAAAATACCTAAGTAGCCGCTACTTAGCTACTTTAAAAAAATATAATTATGGTTAATATATTAATAAAATATCAATTATAATTTTTATGATTTATTATTTAATTTTGAAATTGAAATTGAAATATATTTTCAATTTGTAATTTATATTTTCATTTGAATTATAAACCTAAATCACGTGTTAATAATTTCAAATGTAATCGCCTATGGATATTCTGATAAAAGTGATATTCAGACAATGATATTAATGAAATGGAGGATATCTGGGAAGAAAATGTTCTTAATAGCTATAATACAAATTTCCTATTCCCTAGATTTAAATTTTTTTTAATAATCCAAAACTGGCTTCAAATTTATTTGTTGAAAATGTAAAAAAAATATTTCCTCAAATCAATCCGGTGGCTATAACCTCAAGAAACACCTAAAGGTAAATTGCCATTTTTACATTCTAATAATATTTAATTTATAAGACTGTTCATGAGTTTTAAGGAAATGGAGAAACATCTAAATAATTTTGGTATAGGCTCTACATCCAAAAGACTAATTCAATTCAAACCAAATTAATTAATAATGCAAATGACAATATTTCTCAGAAATTGGCTGATAAAGTTATTGTTGATTTTATAATTTATACAGTTCATATCCTTGGTTGATAATCATCATTTACCATGATGATTAAAACACTATCCCCTGGTACAACGATTTTATGCAGCCAGATACTAATGAATAAAATAGGAGATAACTTTAAAATGATGAAAGATGCTCTAAGTTATAAGATATACCATATATATGTACCACGGAAGATAGTTGGACACATAATAAAAGTAAAAACTTATTTATATTTATAAATTAATCTGATTAAATATTTTTGAGCTTATTTGGGAATCAAAGGCCATATGGCAACCCTAGTGTCGTATTTGTATATACGAATATATTTGTTTATTACACGAAATGCCGATCAACCGATTAAAATAAGGTTGATTGGATATAAAAATTACATGTGATGATATATTTTTTCTGATATAGATTATTATAAAAAATTATAATTAATTAATTTCAATTGCGAGTCTTTGTCTTAAGAAGAAGCCTTCACGAGGTTCATCAGTTAGTTTGCGGATTAGCGATCCAAGTTCCTTGAAGAAAAGAAAGAGCACGATTCCCAAAGGTAGTCAAGGTAGTGGAAATGATGGGAATGAATAAGTGATCTTGGGATATCTCTGAATATTTTGCAATTTTTAGAAGCTCCTTGTTCTCCAGAATGTTAAGGGATTGATTGGAAGGAGCCAATGGATCAATACACGAGTAATCCCAGACCAAGAATTGACCTCGCTTCCAGGGAATTTGAGAGATCATCAGCTTCATTGGCAGCCTCATCTCACAAGATGATTGGAATATTTTTTATATAAGTTATATAACAATAATTACATATTATTATTGGTAACATATTTTCTATTAATTACAATTAGTTATTATAAAAAAAAATTTGATATTGGGAAAAACTATTTAACTATCAACCTAATAAACTTTTGAAATTAATTAATTAATTTTTGAATATGAAAATTACGTAAATTATTTGTGGGTAAAATATTAATACAAAAATCATTGGCGTAATTTTAGTGTGTTTTGTCAGTTATATTTCTTTTCTGCTTTCTGATTTTTGTAGTTTCGTATAGTTTTTTTTTGTGACAGTAGTTTTCTTTGGGTTTCGAGGATTTTTCTGTTTGGTTTTTTTTACCTACGACTTTAAAAAAAAGATCTGCTGAATTAGCCCTCAAAATGATAATAGGATGCCAGACATTCGATGTACTTGCAAATAAAATTATTGATAATCTATCTTATATTAAAAATATGTATATAAGATTAAATACGCCCTTACCCTCAAGTGCTAGTTCGAGAGATTCTTTAGTAAGGCAAAACTTATACTTTCTGATAGTCGCTCTAGACTTGGGGATGATAATATTGAAATGATTTTATTATTAAAATGCAACTAATTGCCATAAATATTCATTTTTATTACATAAATTTTTTTATAATCAAAACTAACTATATTTTAATATTTATAAATGTAGATTTTTATATATTTATAACCAAAAAATAAAAATTTGTTTGTAAATTTTTTTATAAAAGATAGCTTAAAAAGTAACTAAAGCTACTTTTGAAAAATCGTAGCTAATATCGAGCTACATTTTTTGACAAATAGTGGCGTTTAACAACTTTGATTAACTGCAATATTGAACATTATTTGCTAAAATAAATTAGTATTGAACTAGCTGTACAATTAAGATATTTTACACCAGAGAAATTATAAATTTTATTTTTGAAAATCAATCTCCATGTTAACTGAATTGACACCGTATAACATAAGACAATCGATATAGTTCAGAGACCCTCAGTGATAAAACCACGTAATTAACTTAAGAAAAACATCACCTATGCTGGATTCGAACATAGAACTATAGGAGTAGACGATTGTGATACATACAATGAACCGACTAAGCTCAGATGCTACTCAAAAATATCAAATATAATAAACAATACTATCTTATATTTTAATAAAACACTTTAAAAAAATTCAACGCTATTACAGCCTTATCTTAAAAAATGTTGTAAAATGAACCACGTACAAATATTTATAAAAATTGTAAGTAAAACATTTTTAACCAAAATTGGTTGAGAATATCCACAATTCGGATAAAAATTAGAAATTCTATTAATATACTAGTATAATAACCATTCATATTACTTTATAAGCATTAAATTATAGTTGAAACCGATAATATATTATCGGTTCATGTACGGATAGATATTATGGTTCAGGTCAGATAAAAAAATTCGGGTTAATGTTTAAAGGTTTAGTTTAAGTTCGGTTTGGATTCAAAAATGTATTTTAAAAACAAGGAACGGGCTGGTAAATTTGAAATATATTTTGAGCATAATGTTGAGAACACAGGCTAACATTATTTTTAAAAAAATTTAAAATCCGCAAAAAGAGGTCGACCAAATCATCCAATCAAAAATTTTTAAAAGATAGCTGTTTAAACAAATTTTTTTTTAGATATGAAATTTGTTTTTAAAATCATCTGGTAATTTTTCTAAAAAAAGAGCCAGCGGCTAAAAAGGTAAATCCTTTTTTTTGAGAGGGGGGGGGGGGTGGAATTTAAAAAAAAAATTATATTTAATCGAATTCGTATTTCTTCAAATTTTGGACATAAATAAAAGAATATTAAACCTGCTGTGGAAAAAGTTGTTGTTGGTAAAATAGTTGCTAATATTTGAGAGAAGTACGTGGCCTCCCTCATTTTTAATACGACTTTACGAGAGGTACCATAGGATGCTATGCCTTCAGTTGAAAATCCTGGGCCTAAAGGATTGTTGATATATCTCAAAAATAGAACTCCCTATTGTATATTATATAATTTTAAAATAAATAAATTATAATAATTTTCAAATATTATATATAACGACTTCGCTAAGAAGAAAGAAAGAAAGAAAGAAAGAAAGAAAGAAAGAAAGAAAGAAAGAAAGAAAGAAAGAAAGAAAGAAAGAAAGAAAGAAAGAAAGAAAGAAAGAAAGAAAGAAAGAAAGAAAGAAAGAAAGAAAGAAAGAAAGAAAGAAAGAAAGAAAGAAAGAGAGAAAGAAAGAAAGATACATTTTAATTCTTTAGAATAAATTTTAAAAAAATAATATTATAGTAGATCAAGGAACCAAAAGTAACATTCCTTTATCATTTTAGAAGAGAGGAAGATAAGAAGAATTTGGTATTTAGAGCCTACATAACTATAATTATATTTTAATCTGTTTAGATTTATGCAAACATATATATAATGAAGATCATATACACCCGGTGAAAACTCGAAAAAAACCCTAAAAAAATGTAAAAGCTTCACAATATAAAAATGTCTATTCTGAATTTATTTTTTGATTAAGAATTTGTCAAAAATTTTGATGATGTTTATCAAAATTTTCTTCGAAGCAAAAGTTAAAACGTTTATTAAAATAGATTTCCAGAAATAAGGATGTGTCTTGGTTCAACATGTTGATACCTATTTCTATTTAGCCTAAGCAGCGTTTGAAACCTTACTTTAATTTTCTCAAAGTGTTTTGTTATTTTTCATTTAATCGAAGCTATATAGCCACTATTTAGTAATAAGATTAAACCAGGAAACAACCGAAGACCTTAATATATCAAATATAACAATACAATACCATCCTTAGCTAAGGTACGATTCAGTCAATATATATTAAAGGGTCGTATTGTATTTTAATAAATTTTGGTATTTTTATCTATTTAGAAAATTTCTATATGTTAACTCAAAAGCAATTAACATCGTGCTTTTATTTAGATTCAAAAACAAATTCAAATCGACTCATTTATCATTCATGTTCATAAAAATAATAAAATTTACTAATATTATTTGATTTATATAATGACGAATATAAAATTGTTCGATTCGTTTAAAAGAATTCAAATACCAATAATTTATAATTTGATTCATATTCGTTTTTTTTGAATTTGCCCAAGATAACAAATCGAATTTTTCAAAAATAATAAAATATTTAGAGCCGAGCTTGGGCTGGGTATAGGCCGTGCCGTTATTAAAAATTGTACATTTATAAAAAAAATATATTAAAAGTTAATTTATAACACATAATATTTTAATTTATAAAAAAAAAAAATTGTTTACATAAACTATAGCTACTCCGCAATCATATTCAAGTGGGTTAGTGTAAATATCTTCCATTATAGCCACTACGTCAGCAGGGGGCTGAGGCGCAATTAGACCAGCAAAGGTTATAAGGTTAGGTAACGGGACTTTGTTAATATAATTTTTAAAAAAAATAAAATAAACACCGATATTAAAATATTATTTAACGAAGAATTATTATTTTTTTAATCAAAAAGGAAACAAATTAAAATTTACAGATATAATTAGGGTTCTAGCAACTGATGGATTTTATGAAATATCTCAAATTAGATCAAATATCTTTAGCTAGTTAATATTAAATGAATAAATTATCATTTATTTGGCCTTTTTGGGGTCAAATCTTGAGACTAGTACTGTTAAATAACTTAATTTGGCATTACTCTTGGCTCGGCCAATCTCTTAGTTCTTATATATTGAATAAAGACAAAAGTTAGAGGATACAAACTTAGCTGAGCCGTTTAGAGTTGGCTAAAGTTACGAGAATTAGATGATTAAAAACCTTTATTAGCCGTTTATCAAAAATGGGCTAAACTAAGGTTTGTAAAAACAATAAAAAAAATAAGAATATAAAAACAAATCAAAACCATATAAACCAAACCAAAGCGAACTTCGAATTTACTTTTTTAAAAGATTATTATAAATGACAACACCTTTCTTATATTTTTTTTTATAAATGCAATCCACGTAGAAAATATATAATGTAAACCAATATTTTTCTGCAAACTCTTTTCTTCTAGAAGCAATTTAATAAAAAAAATTCCTAAAAATTAATAAGAATGTATTCATTTAGAAAAATAGAATGGTTCGCCAACATTTCAGGCACGTAGCCAGCGGGGAGAGGAAAAAAATCCTCTCCCCCCCCCCTTACCAGATTCATTTAACTTAGCCATATCTAATTCCTGTTCTCTGCCGTGTATAAGAAATTTGTTTATGTATAATTCTATTTAATTTATTTACACTAATGACTATGATTAGGCAAAAATTTTCTAGGGTGTAACGTAATATACAGAAAATATTCAAAATTTGCTTAATATAATTATTTATTATTTTCGAAGGCTCTTGTGCTACGAGGATGACATCAAGCGATTACCTAATTTTTGGATCTAAACCAATTTTAGGTGCTCTTGGAGAAATAAGGGAATGTATTTTTCAAAAGAATAATATAGATTTGACGGAAACTATCAGAATCGCCAATATAATTAAGATATAATATTGATCATGAATTTCATAAAATGTTTGTGATTGTTGAGGAGAAATCCAAACTATATGATTTTTGAGATCCGCACGCCTTGGCTCGAATCTTTTCCAATATAATTGTGGAATCAATTGAGGACTATTATAAAATAACAGATGATATTCCACTTTTGGACACATTAGCTAAAAAGCGGGCAAAAAAAAGGATTCTGGGACAAAGCTCTTAAAAAAAATTAATATCCTCCCCCCCCCCATTCTCTTCAATCTCCTGAATAAATCATGACTATGGATTCAATGTAAATTTCAAAAAATTGAAATAAAGAATACTAATATAGACAAAAGGATAAATATCATAATAGGTTATGTTAATTAGATGTAAATTTTATTTTATTTTTTTACGAATATAGACATTTAAATTGATTTATACTGTATATGTATTCCAAATAATAGAATAAGGATTGATTTTTACGGTGGTTAGTTTATTATAGATATATTCCCCTAGGAGTAGAGTATTTATTGTTTAATTTCAATTTTCATCCAAATATATAGAGATTACAAATATAAGTTTATATGTTCAAAATTAATTCCAGAGGATGATGATGATATAAAAATTTATAATTGAAAAAATATATATTCATTATACCTTTTTCTTTCTATAGCTCTACTAAAATAATTTACTAATGTAATCTATTAGATATATGATCTAATATTTTTACGAGGTCTAATATACGTAACATAATTTAGCTGCTAAAGATTAATAGACAAATTTAAAATCTTGATCAATTTTGACCATTTTAACAATTAAATTTATTTTTAACCTCAAATATCTATATTGAAATCAATAATATGCGCAGGACAATTATGGGACATTAATTATGTAATAAATGTATTATTCTTTACAAATCTATAAACTTGTGCATTTATTAATAAATAAAAATATATAAAAACTAGCAATTAATTATTACCAGTTATTATTATTATTATGGTTTTTACAATCAAAAAACGTTTATTTCATAATTCCTTATGTTATTTTAAATTATATATAATCATAAAATCATACATTGAGCGTGAATCAATGGTAAACATCCCATCATAGTTGAAACGACTGTCAGCACATATATAGAAATCATATTTGAGCTATATTGTGCTTTGAAAATAAATATAGGAAGTCAATATAAACAAATTTATGATTTTAAAGATATTACCTTAATTTTTTGCTATTTTTTGTTTGATGATTAAATTGACATTTTTTGGAGAATGATTAATTAAATATTGTCATTATGAAGAATACAAACTTTTTAAAATCCTTTTTGTATTATACATTTATTTAAAACTTAAAATGACACAAAATTAATTCAACAATACCAATATTAATAACAATATATAAATCATATTAAACAAGAATTATACTAATAAACTCAAACTGAATAAAATATCCATTCTAGTCACCAGTTAAATTATTTTGAAAAAAATGCATGGGGCTTAAAGATATATGCAAAAAAAAAACTATAATTTTACCTTATGTTGATACCAAAATTTGCTTTTAATTTAACTTTAATTAAAAATTATTATTTTTTTAGGAGTAAATTATCTTTATTTACCTAAAAATAAAAGAGGTGAGATTATTAATTACTTACAAACCGTATGCCAATTTTATATAAAGCATAATAATTTATTTTAACTTTTTAGAATTTATGTATTTAATAAATATAAAAATAAAAAACTTTCAAAATTGTATATAATCTTGCCTGGTATAAAATTTTTTTTATTATATTTCTCAGTTTTGTAAGCCAGAGGGTCTTTTTTTTACCTAACTTATTTGATAGGGTAAAGGTTAATTCTAGACGATATGAGAGTGAGACAATTTAGACAACGGAGGTATCTGAATTTTTAAATTCTGATATCTAATTTGTGTTCCAAAAAAGTTACTATCATCTTACAGTAGAGTCACCGACCCTTTTCACTTGAAAGGGTTCGTATTTATTATCAAAAAATATGCAAGAAATATAAATTATAGGTTATTTGATTTTCTCTGTTCATAAAACTTGAAAGTTCGCTATATTGTAAAATATGGGAATAATTTTATTAGTTTTTGCCATTTTCCGATCATTATACTATAATATATATATATATTAGAGATAAATAGAAGAAATAGATAAAATGTAAACTAAAAATTATCTATGTTCCTCTTTCAAAAATATTTATTGCGGATTAAATATGCTACTCTGTTATTTCTTATATTTATGGATGTGATTCACTCAAAGTAGAATATAATAATAAAAATATAACAAAATATTTATTTGGGAATAAATGAAGAAATTTTGTCTATGAATTTGAGATATAATTATCATCTATTATATTTTACAATTTTCCCGCTAAATTATTGAAAACTGCCCAACTTAAATTCCCAGGAATTTTGCATCACCAATTATGCCACACCCAATAATACAGTTTTTTTCGAATCTTATAGTTTATATTTTCAGCGCCTATTTTATTTTTACACAGATAATAAATGAAAATCGTTTTATTTTTAGATCTAGTTTTTAACTATAACTTTAGATCTTTCAGGTTCTGGCTTAATAAATGATACAATCTAGATGAAACCCCCCCCCCCCTCTTTCTTAAAGAATTTTGATATACGAAGTTAAAGCAGGGTTTTAACTGATTTTGTCATTACACTTACAACAAAATTTTCAGCATTATAATATAATTGTTCAGAAAGATCGTTTTTAATTCAAATTTTCGCGTGACATCATTTTTATATATCAATAAATTATTTTATTTCATAACCTTGAAAAGAATATAATTATATGTCTGCTGTAACTTTGGCTGTATATATATTTTTTTTTAAATTTAAAATTGCGAAATGTGAATAAAATAAAAGTATGACGAAAATAAAATATGAAAAAGATATTTAAAAAATATAGAGAGTTTCTTTTGAAATAGTTGTTTTGATTGATAAGTAAAAATTTAAATGCCAAAAATAATGACCAATAAGATAAGCGCTTTATTATTGAAAATAGTTTTTTTTTCTCGACATTTTTCTTATTAAACCCTCCGAGCTATTATGCACATTAATATTCTTCCATTATCAAAAATGAATAGTATATCAGACATTTTATTTGTTTGAGTTTCCTAGCCTGGGTAACGTATTGGCTATTCAGTTGATTGGGGTTTTTTTAAAAAACAAATAAATATTAACATGCTTTATAAAAGCAAAGTTCTCAGATTTTCATAATATCTCTAATATAATCATTGGTATCAATTTTTTTTTTGCCAATGCCAATAGTTTATACCGCAATTTTTGAAATTTTTATATATTTCGCATTTCTTTTTTCCTCCTTTCTAGCCAGGATAACTCATAAAAATTTAGCACAACATTACATTTATTTATTTTGGCAAAAATTGGTTTCTTTTTTTAATTAATATTAAGTTTCTTAACTCGCAAAATAACCCATCAATACAATCGGTGGCTTGCAATCCATTAATCACTTCTTCTCTAACGCATCATCTAGCTTACTTCATTTCAAAAACATCTCTAAATTTCTCCCTCGCCATCTAGCTTTTTTTCTCCTCAAAAACTTTTACTACATTCCTAAAATTCTTTACGCTCTTCGATCCACCTCAATCTTTAAATTTCCCGACTCAATAAAATCATTTTGAAACTTCCGTCAAATCTCTTTCCGAAGAGATTCTTAATCTTCGCTTCAACCATAATTCATGGCTACAAGCATCACTTCTCATGCAAGCTCGGGGGCATCGGCTTACGCTCACCTCTAACTCTTTCCATCAGTGGATTCATCGCCTCCCGCCTCTCATCTGACTCACACATTAGCCAGCTTTCTCATCTTTCCTGACCCATTATTAGCTGAAGCCCAGACCATTTGGGACAATTCCGTTGTCCCAAACACTCCTCGACCCTCCTCCTGTTTACAGAGAGACTGGGATACTCCACTCAACGAAGAGCTCCGTCGCTTACCTAAAATCGAGTCTTCATGACGACGATCTCACAGTCTTTCACCAATTAAACCAAGGATCGGGTTACGAGTTTCTGGAAACTATACCCTCCAACAACCTCGACTTGTTGCTGACCGCTGACGAGCTAAGATTTGCCATTGGATTACGGCTCAATTGCGAAATTGTTCTACCGTACCAATGCAAACATTGCGAAACCAGCGTCGATCGCAAGGAGCAGACATTGCCTCCATTGCCGCTTTTGCCGAGGCTACGGCGCACCAGCTGCAATGGATATTGCGTGCTCTCAAATCCTGAGGCATTCCATCAAGACTTGACAAACCGGCATTTTAGATCCGACGGAAAACGTCTGATAAAATGTCCTTGATTCCTTGGTCAAGGAGACAGCTACTAGTCTGGGACTTCACCTGCATTGACCCAAATGCACCATCCAACCACAACGTCGATGCCCTCGCTCTTTTTTTTTTTTTTAAAACAATCAAATATAGTTCCATAGACCCCTCTTTCTTATTCATACCTATCTCCTGCTCTACTCTTACCACCTTCGGTAGCAAAGCTCTAAGTTTTTTTAAAGAATTAGGCAAACGGATCCGGGAAAACACCGATCAGCCTAAATAGTCCCTTTTCTTACGACAAAGACTTGCTACCGCCATCATTCGCTCTAACTACCTAAGTTTCATCTCTTCCATTGAATAATCTCCTATGTCTATGCCCTCTCTCTCCCTTCTCTTTCCTAGTTTCCATTCTTTTATCCCTTACACTTTCTTTTTTTTTTTTTTTTTTTTTTTTTTACCTTTATTAATTTTACCATATAAAAAAACGTATTATTTACTATAAACTTTGATAACATATTATATCAGCAACTATTGAAATAAAGAAATTTACCCGTCAAAAAAAAGAGTTAAATAAAAGCCTGAAGATTTAGGTCATATGTGGCAAAATTTATTTTGGACATCTATTAGTGAAATCTCTATGCTTACGCAATATTTTTCTCGCTTAAATGTTGAGTTATTCGTTTTTAAAGCTCGAATCGCTGTTTAACAATAATAGGGATTTATAGAAACTTTTAAAGCCTTTGTAGATTCGAATAGCTCCATTAAATTTTTTGAAAAAATGTTTCGAGACATAAAAAATTTACCGTGTTATATTTTAATCCAAAAGGTAAATGTTGTAGATATTATGGAAATCTGAGTATACTCGGTTTTTATAAGTGATTTTGATTATATTTTTACATCAATTAAGTAGCTAATTCATATGTTATCCCCAGCTAGGAAAACTCAAACAAATAAATATCCCTGGATATATTATTAATTTTTGATAATGTAAAAATTTTTTTGGAGGTTTTAATAAGAAAAAAAAATTGGAAATTATGATGATAAAAAAAACTATTTTCAATAATAAAAAAGCTTATCTTTTATGGTCATTATTTTTGGCATTTAAATTTTTTACTTATCAATCTAAACAACTATTTCAAAAAAAACGCTCTAAATTTTTTATATTTCTTTTATACCTTTCATATTTTAATTTTCGTCATACTTTAATTTTTTTACACATTAATTTTATATTAAAATAAAATAAAATAAAATAAAATAAAATAAATAAAATAAAATAAAATAAAATAAAATAAATAAAATAAAATAAAATAAAATAAAATAAAATAAAATAAAATAAAATAAAATAAATAAAATAAAATAAAATAAAATAAAATAAAATAAAATAAATAAAATAAAATAAAATAAAATAAAATAAAATAAAATAAAATAAAATAAAATAAAATAAAATAAAATAAAATAAAATAAAATAAAATAAAATAAAATAAAATAAAATAAAATAAAATAAAATAAAATAAAATAAAATAAAATAAAATAAAATAAAATAAAATAAAATAAAATAAAATAAAATAAAATAAAATAAAATAAAATAAATAAAATAAAATAAAATAAAATAAAATAAAATAAAATAAAATAAAATAAAATAAAATAAAATAAAATAAAATAAAATAAAATAAAATAAAATAAAATAAAATAAAATAAAATAAAATAAAATAAAATAAAATAAAATAAAATAAAATAAAATAAATAAAATAAATAAAATAAAATAAAATAAAATAAAATAAAATAAAATAAAATAAAATAAAATAAAATAAAATAAAATAAAATAAAATAAAATAAAATAAAATAAAATAAATAAATTAAAATAAAATAAAATAAAATAAAATAAAATAAAATAAAATAAAATAAAATAAAATAAAATAAAATAAATAAAATAAAATAAAATAAAATAAAATAAAATAAAATAAAATAAAATAAAATAAAATAAATAAAAATAAAATAAAATAAAAAATAAAATAAAAT